GGGCCCTGTTCATATTACCTGGCCAGGCGGGATACAACATTTGACAGTATGTTGTATCATATCCTGCTACTATCCTGGCTAAGCGCGAGGTTTCCATTGCCAGAATCCTGGCTATATGGAAGCCAAGAAATTCACCGTACACAGTAAACACTCTATCCCAAACAGGGAACATGAATTAGGCTTCAAGCATGTGTACGTTCTGGATAGCCTAGATCATATAAACACTGGCCCCCGATAGATCCCGAGACTATAATTGGAACATTTTAGTCCATAAATTTGTGCATTACCAGAATACCTGTGCACGAATGAATATTTTACACATATTATAGATCATATCAACAGACCCTTATAACAGATCCTGAAACTACAATTGGAACATTTTAGGCCATAATCTTGTAGAATCAACCCTGTATTAACATCATATCAAACCGGGCAAGCCCATTTATATGGGCTAAATATATACCTGCCCGTGGTGAGATACTACCTCATATATTAATTTTAAATATGTTTGAGATTGCATTCACATGAACCAGCCTGGTTGAATTGCCTGGCTCAGCTTCTGCTTGAGCAAGTTGATATCCTGCACTGGGAGTCTCGCACTAAAGGTCATAAGCTGGCCAACCAGCTCACTAGAATTTAAAAATAATGTTATAATACACAATTAAGTAAGTAAGAGAATAATTAGTAAGAGAATAGTTAATACAAGCCTTCTGGAGCTGTTGCCATTAACAAATTAACTAGCATTTCACACAAATTTCCTGCCAACACTTGCCAGGTTAGCCTCACTCCTGTGATGCAAATAACAAGCTAGCCCTGAAAAGAAAATACAACCATGTTTGATGGCCCATTTTGACAGCCCTTAACAGTGCAGGGGTGGAAAAAAAAATTATCTTTCTGGGAAACTGGGTTGAAGGGTAGAAATTTTCTGTAAAATTTGTAACGTTACAATTACAAAAATAACAAAACAAATGCATAATTATTGTATTATTTGTACTTTAGTAATAATGAGCTTTAGGCTGGTTTTCGTACGCTTGTACATCACAATAGTTGTCTGTTATATACCACAGTTATGAGTTATGACCAACTAGTAAGGATCTTGATTTTTTTCTGTGTCGGTGTTATGTACTAAGGTGAATATGATGTTTGTGAAGTTACTCTGAGTGTATATCCTCACCGGACAAACTTGAAAAATATGCCTGGCCACGATGGGAATCGAACCTACGACATTTGGATTACTAGCCCAATGTTCTGCCAACTGAGCTACACGATCAGGTCGGTTCGAGTAAGTGATATTTCGGAACTGAGTTTAGTTCCTTTAACATCAATGTAATCTAGTATTTCAAAGGTCATATAGGTTCGATTCCCACCATGGCCAGGCATATTTTTCAAGCTTGCCCGGTGTGGATACATACTCAGAGTAATATCACAAACATCATATTCACCTGAGTACACAACACCAACACAAAAAATCATGATTTTTGGATTACATTGATGTCGAAGGAACTAAACTCAGTTCCAAAATATCACATACTCGAACCGACCTGACCACGTAGCTCAGTTGGCAGAGCATTGGCCTAGTATTCCAAAGGTCGTAGGTTCGATTCCCACCGTGGGCAGGCATATTTTTCAAGCTTGCCCGGTGCGGATACACACTCTGAATAACATCACAAACATCATAGTAAGGATCTAACACTTAGCTAAGTGTCCTATCATCTTATTTATTCCATCACTTTTATTTGTTTACTATTTAATTTGCATTTTATTGGAGACTTTGCAGAGCATATATTTACCATTTTACCAGTCATTGTGATAGCAGGGGTGGGTAAAAGAATTAATTTCTGTCAAATATTTAAAAGCTGCTGATGTTAGCATGTACAGTGTAAATAAAGTAGAATAGTTGTAAGTTGAGTAAACAGAGTTATCTCAAAATGTTGAAATATTTTCTGGAAAATTTTCTGCAAAACTCTGAACACAAAAAAATTCTGGGAACTAGGTTCCCAGGTTCCGATACTTTTTCCACTCCTGTAACAGGGAGAGCTTATTTTAGGAAGGGAGAGCTTATTTTTGGAAAGGAGAGCTTATTTTCAGAAGCGAGGCCTATTTGTGAGGTTATTGGGGGCTTAAAGGGGCAATGTCACCGATTTTTGACCTAAAATGCCTTTTATTTAAAAACTGAACTACAAAGTTAAAAAAAACATTGTAAATGGATTAAGTTATGATATATGAGTCATATTAAACAACTTTGAACTTCCATACAACATGTAACATGACATTTTCATAAAAATTGACTAAAACTTGAAAAAGTGTCTGCCAACAATTAATCAAGATGCCATTTACAATCCATCTCAATCCTGGCGTAATCTTGCCCATCCAGACTTCTGTACATGTTTTTTGTGTCTGTTATTGCTTCATTTTGTGCTTACACTCATTCTTTTTGAGCAAAATTTGCGAGGGTTGGAATTGCTCAAAAATCGGTGACATTGCCCCTTTAATATGGGATTGCATTATTATATAATATGTGTAAAATATTCATTTGTGCACAGGTATTCTGGTAATGCACACATTTATGGACTAAAATGTTCCAATTATAGTCTCGGTATCTATTGGGGGCCAGTGTTTATATGATCTAGGCTATCCAGAACGTACACATGCTTGAAGCCTAATTCATGTTTCCCGTTTGGGATAGAGTGTTTACTGTGTACGGTGAATATCTTGGCTTCCATATAGCCAGGATTCTGGCGATGGAAACTTCGCGCTTAGCCAGGATAGTAGCAGGATAGGATACAACATACTCTCAAATGTTGTATCCCGCCTAGCCAGATAAAATGAACAGGGTCCATTTGTGACTAGTGAACCAGATGAAGTAAAAACAATGAAGTTCATATGTCCATATAAAATTTTGATATCTGAACAGCAACATGGAACAAAATCATTCTGTCCCAAAGTCATCCATCTTCCTTAAGTTAGGACAACGAGACCAATGAATATGTTGTCATTGAAGGTTAAAAACAATGAAGACAAGTGTTATTGTCAGACAAACGATATTGTCCATGTCCACAGGCTGCAACACATGTTGACACATTATCCTGAGGTTGACCAAATGTCGAAATCGACGAAAAACGAGCAAAAAACAGTTATTGAGCTAATCAATCAAATAAATACTTGGCAAAAGTTTGAAGGTCCATAGTCCAAATATTTGATTGGTATCTTTAAACTCAATTATACCAACAAAATCTTAAAAATTTCCTGTATTCATATACGCAATATTGATCGCTTAGTCAGCAAAAAATCGACATGTCAACTTGTCCCGGCCCGGAAATGTCCTGTTTGCTTGTTAGACAGGATATTAATAAGTTAATGTGAAAATATGAAAATAAAGTGTGTTTTAAAAAATAAAACCTCTCAAATATCGATTTGAAAGACTTTTAAAAACGCTAAGCCATTCGGTATACCTACAAATTCGAATGGTGGTATTTCAGTTTGCGCAAGGCAAAGTTTGGAGACCCATATCTTCGCAATCACGCCATTAATCAAAAATCCCCACGAGGAAGTTGAGGAGAATTCTTTTAAATGCCCATGACACGAAATTTCACCCCAAATGTTTATGATTGCATTGTAAAGATCACTTAAAATGACTTAATAATTTCTTTTATAGAATTTTGGTAACTTGCTTCCTTTGCAAGATATTCAACTTTGTTTCATATGCAAATATCACCGGTGTGACACCACATCGCATAATGACATTTTGAAAACGCAATATTTTACCTTGATAAAATATTTTTACAAACAAATACAGAGCCAGAGGGTTAATTGCCAGTTATGACATTAATACATATACAAGGGCAATTTTTAAGTTTTTTAGATACGTATTCGTCAAGAAAACTATACTTTTATGAAAACTCGTTATTTGATGTGATGTCACACCGGTGATATTTGCATATGAAACAAAGTTGAATATCTTGAAAAGGGAGCAAGTTACCAAAATCCTACAAAAAAAATTATTAATTCATTTTAAGTGATCTTTACAATGCAACCATAAACCTTTGGGGAGAAATTTCGTGTCATAGGCACTTTAAGAACAATATATATCAATTTCACGGAAAAAAACACCAAAAAACCGCTTGCAGCAAAACCCGTTTTACGCATTCTGATTGGCTTAGAGCAACAATGTGAACAAAAACGCTGATTGGTCGAGAACGAAATTTCCCCTTGTTAATGATGAGGGATATATGACATACGGAAATGCATGAATCCTAACACTACCACTATACTGTAACCCTATTCCTAAATCTAATCCAACCCTAATCCAAACACTAACCCTAATCCAAATCAATCCCTAACGCTGCCATCCCCAACCCACCAACCCTAATAGACTGTTACAGTGTTACTTATATCATAGTTAATAGAGGGGATGGTTTGGAAACTCATTAGCATTACAATAAACCTCGCTATCTATGTTTTTGTTCAGGTTTATGCAAAAATGTGGTCTTTCATCGTCACGTGCGTATTGTATTTTTGCTCAACCAGCCAATAGCAACGGTTTTGTCCAATTGCTCATCCTTGACTTTAACAATAGGACATTTTGAACATTCCTATTGGTTGACTTGAGAAAAATACAATACGCACGTGACGATGAAAGACCACATTTTTGCATAAACCTGAACAACATAGATAATGAGGTTTATTGTGATTTTATGGTAATGCTAACAAGCTTTCAAACCATCTCCTCTATTAACTATGCTTATATAGAAAGAAGTATTGTCCAATCTTTGTGGGACAATAGAGCAGCTATATGATTATATACATCACAGATTCATGCATTGCCGTATGTTATATATCATCATATATGAAATGAGAGACGATGTTGAATTTGCTGTGGCACGATGAAACAATGCATTTTTCTGGTGCCAAATGGTGCGACATGCATGTATACCAAGCCTGTCAGCCTCTGTTTGTGATTTGACGGTCAAACACCAATTCTCATATTTTGTTTTCTGTAGGAAGACGATGATTTGAAGGAGTACATTCGAGCAACCACCTTTCTGGTGCTGATTGGTGTTGGGGAGGACCCTTTTAAGTTAAGTCCCCTTCTCATTTGTGTGGAAGGGAACGAACTGGTGAATGTGACATTGTGTTCCTGTTCAACGACACTGCAATATTTGGAGTACAGAATTCCTAGGGCCAAAAAACAAAGTTCCATTCAGAAATTTACGAAAGAACTTGAGCACTATATGAGTGCGGAATAGATAGAAACAATTAATCACTGTTGGCATGCTTGCATATATATGTAATGTATATATATATACCTGCAGTTACTTTTTAATACTTTCATTTTTATCATTAGTGAAGTAAACTAATCCATGTGTTTCTCGTTTCATCAATGCATTTTTTATGTTTATAGTTTATAAGGGAGTATAACTCTTACCCCTAAAGTGGGTAAGCGTTTAACTCTATAAAGCTGGGGTAATTTTTACCCCTAGAGCTGGAGTAAAATGAGTTTTGCACCATTTCCAGGGGTTGAAATATTTTACCCCCAAAAAGAGGTAAAAAATTTTACACCCTTAACAAGGGTATTTTTTACTCAATTCTGTGGGGGAAATTTTTACCCCCGTTTTAATTAATTCAAATTCTACCCCCAAAATCGGATCATTCTGTGGAAAATGATCTACACCCCTATATCGAGGGTAATTTTTACCCCTTAGAATTTACAGTGCAGTTTAGCAAAAAATAATATTCTATTCAACTTAGCATTATACACATAAATAGATAATATATAAAGCACAATGTATTTAGCTGAAAACTCTTATGCTCAATATCAAAATGATACATATCTCAATAAATTCACAAACAAACTATTAAATAAGACTCACGCCTTAATGAAATATAACCTTATATGCTATTAGATAGAGTAATATAAGGAAAGGGCAGTAGGTTAGTAGGGTACATTTAAGTTTTGTACTGCAATGCTCCTCAAAATGTAAGACTGTAAAGCTGGATGAATGTAAAATATCACATTTATTACCATTTAACCCATTAAGCGCCAGCGCTCTCCCCTTGACGAGTAAAATCGTCTGGCGTTAGACAGAGTAAAACACTAAAGTAGAGTGCGTCAGGGTGCAATGTGACTCAGCGGGTTAACTAGACACATGGGCAGATAGGTCAGTTAACCCATTAAGCGCCAGCGCTCTCTCCTTGACGAGTAAAATCATCTGGCGTTAGACAGAGTAAAACACTAAAGTAGGGTGCGTCAGGGTGCAATGCGACTCAATGTGTTAAACTGCAAATGGTAATGTAGATTAGTTGTGCCGAGCTCTGCACTTATTACATTACTCTGTTCAGTACAAGGTGACTTTACAGTCTTCTTTTTCTAAATAAACATAACTAATATGTTCTTCAACAATGAGTTCGTCTAGCGTGTAGTTTCAGCATATATTTTCTTTTCCTTGTGCAAGTCAAAGGCTACAAAAAATATACAACCTAGCAAACATCTACCCAAGGTTCATTTTTATCAGCCAATGAAAAGACCATTTCTTGCCGATGATTCCTTTACGATAATGAATCTTGAATGAAGATCATCTAGCTTCACCAATGACTGGTTTGTTATAAATAGCCCTCTAAATTTGAAAAAGCAAAAGATTGCTCATGAACATAATCCTAAGTAAAATTGATATTATTAATGAATGATGATTATGGGTCAAATTAGACCCATTTATAACAGTGCCTTGTATACCCTAGCCTACAGTAGTTGCACCTAGCTTTTTCTTAATGATGCTATTCCTATTGATAGAACAACGATAATTCTCACAATGCTTTCATTAAAATTACAATGCCCAGTCTCTCATTTAAACAAATCTGGGGTCTGGCCAAGTGGTCTAATAGTTTGTGCTTCATTACATGAACAAAATGTAATTTTCTAGGCTAATATTATTATGGCTCATTTGAACAGGCCATACCCGGCCCATACGAATGAGGCTAAAATGACCAAGGTAACCTAAGGTACATAATTCATATTTGAAGCTGCATGTAGGGATCGCCCCTCAGCGCCCTCACCCCACTCATCCATTGGCAATGTTTGGATGCGAAAAGCCTATTCTTAGACTATGTACATGCAAACTCCTTCAACATTCATAATTCGATATTTAATAAGTTCAATGACTTCAATCAAGTGAGATATCCAAACAAATTCTGTTATATTAAAATATTACAGTATCAAAAAGCTGTCAAGCGATGAAAAATTTTTGACTTTGTAAAAAATAAATCAGTTGCAGAGAGGCCAAAATCCTGCGAAATTGTTAACTCAAGACAACATTTTTCTCATGTATATTTATATGATACACGAAATAAAATTCCGTTACAATATAGCAATATAGTCCTGAGATAAATGAGATTGTACTCTCTCTTCTGGGGAAATAAATAGCAATTGATGTAGTACATACCTTGCTTCATTTAATCTTTAAGTATTCCTGTGTTGAGAAGTAAAAAATATTCAAATATTCCAGCGATAAAGAAGCAAACGATTTGAATATTCGCAAATATGAAATATAGCGACAGGCAAGAGTCGTGGTGCGCAAAGCATGTTGGTACTATTTTTTACCGAACTCGAAGCGAGCTGTTTCGCTTATGTCCTTTTATGGACATCGTCGTGTTTCTTTTCATAAACAGTTTGTTATTGTTCGTTCTTTGGCGCACAATATCTATAAATTTTGAATTCGAATCGCATTCAACGGCGTATAATTAGCGTTATAATAGCTATACTATGGTAAATCTTTGTGAGGACAGTGCTTGGATATGAATAATGAACATGAATATTAAATATTTAACAAAATTAAAGCTAAACAGTCGATTCTGTCGAAAGATCAAATCGAAGGGAAGAGCGTTGAATATTTGCTGCCAAGGTCATTTGATCATGGTCAACATCGAGGTCAAGATAGTGCGAATTTCAGGTTGGTAGATTTGCTTGAACGTTAGAAGCGGTCTCAAGAATATTGTTTACATTTTAAAAATACATATCCCTTCTTGTCTGTGTTTTAACTGTACAACATAGGAATGATTATCACTTCTACTCTTCAATATTCAGTAAATTTTTCTAGATTATTTTATTCTGTCTGACGCCAGCTTGATAATTTTATACTTGATGAGTGCTGGCGCTCAATGGGTTGACCAGACTATTTCCCCATCTGTCTATTTCATAATTCAAGCAAGAAAGGTTTAAATGTTCATATATTTTGCAACTTGTCTGACACTAGTCATGAACGTGTTTTGACTGAGGCAATGGTTCACACTTCACATAGTTGACAGATACAATAAAAGTATATAAGGGCACTGTGTACACATAAGCCCCCATCAAAAAATCTTTACGAACGAATATAAGCCCAGGGCATATATTCAGAGGTTCACGGTATGCCATTATATATCTGATTCTCTTGTGTTCTTTGATTGGCAGTAAAAACTGTAATCATTTTAATGGTGTCTGTTCTTATAGTTTTTTCCATTCTTTTAGATTGATGTAAACCAAATGATATATCACTTTTGCATGATGTAGTACATCAAACACAAAAGAACCGGGTTTAACCATAGAGGGTTCAGACCACCTGATAAAGGAGATTGACAGTAGCACAGCTATACAAGAAGGTATATAATCAGTACCATGTAATGTTTTGTGAAGATAAACTCTTTTCATGTATTACATCGCTGCTGTGAGACTGGTTTATCTGCAGTGGTCTGCATGTTACTGGGTCCAAATGCATTGTCGTGAGAAAGTTGCCTAAAGCAATAGTTATAGGGCAGAAGAAACTCTTAAAACTGAATTTAGTTGTTACCATACAGTACTTTCTAATGAAGTGATTTTAGTCAATATAGATATATACATATGTTGTTGTTGTATATGTATAATTAATATAGCTAGCTATACTGTACACAGGGCCGCCTAGAGAATTTGCGGGGCCCGAGGCAAACCTTCCCTGGGGAACCCATAACATTATTTTTAAGCTAGACCCAACTAAACCTTAGCTAGACTGCATGTGGAGGTACTGTAAGTAGCTCTCAATTTCAAAAATGCTCTTTATAGAACCTACTCAATTTTAGGCTCTTGCTCTCAAGTTAGGGCCCTATTAAGGTGGGGGTCCAGGGCAATCCCCCCCCCCCCCTCTTGGCCATCCTGACTGTACATGTGATTATTTTGATTATAGCTAAATAGAATATGCAACCCTATCGTAGAATGTGTTATATTTTGGGTGTATACCATATTGCTAACCCATTGAGCTGAATTGTGCCCTACTTTGTTGTTTTACTATCAATATTTAAAACATGGCTTGTTTTGGCAAGACATGACATCCTTTGGCAAGACATGACATCCTTTTGGTTTTTCACATATTGTATTTGACAGAATGTCATTTTTTCGATATATTGAAACAATGCCGTTTCTTTGATGTATCGCAACCATGGATAGTTTAGAGTTTTCGACATATTGAAAAAATGGCAATCTTTTGATATATCGAAGAAATGGCATTCTTTCAATATATAGAAGCCATGGATAGTTTAGTTTTCGATATATCGAGGAAATTGCAATCTTTTGATATATTGAGGAAATTGTAATCTTTCGATATGTCCAAGAAATGGCATTCTTTCGATATATCGAAGAAATGGCATTCTTTCGATATATCGAGGAAATTGCAATCTTTCGATATATCGAAGAAATGGCATTCTATCAATATATCGAAGCATTGGATAGTTTAGAGTTTTCGATATATCGAAGGTGGCATGTTCTTGATATATAATTTTCACTGACTGTGGCTGCCTCCAGACATGTTTTGGAACTATAACATTTTCCTCTTTTTTCCCCTTTTATTCACATGCATTTTACTCACTTTGCTAAAAACAATAAATTTTGCCCAAATTTTTTAGCAGTTTTTTCCTCTTAGAGATTTAGTATCATTTTAGTCATTTCTTGCAACTTGGAAAAGCTAAAATTGTTGCAAAATGTGTATGTTTTTGCTGAATATATTTTCAGTCATTTTTAACATGCATTTGATGTGATTTTCCTGTTAAAACATGAAATCTGTCATTGTCCACATTTGCAATTATTCTTATGTTTTTAACCAATTTTTATCATGTTTGAAAAGGAATTCTTGTTTTCATGCAGAATTATTGCATTTATGTATAATTTCTCCACAGTCATGGCTGTATTCCTGGCATTTTTTAGTGTTTTCTTTCATTTTCCTCTCAAATTCTGTTAAATAGAATATTGGACCCTATAGTAGAACGTGTTAAGGGTTGAAACAACGACGGGATGTCGACATTTCTAAATGCCTTAAAATTCACAATTTAATATTTATTTCTGGACATATCTTCATTTTCGGACATATCTTCATAACTGATATAGTAGATTTAATACACGATTGACTTTTAAATTTCATGTTTTTACATGAAACACTCAAAAATTGTTTTGCACAATGTGTTCCAGGAGTAGCTTGTTCTCGTGCTGTCAAGTAAAATGACTCCGAGCCGTTTAAAAGGTTTACAGAAGGGATTCAAGGGATTCAAGTTTTTAATCATAACTCATAGTGGAGTCCCCTGTACTGTATATTGAAGCCTACTGCCTATATACAAGATTCCCATGCAGATTAGTATAACCGAAAAATGCATGAATACTACTAGATACCACCGACGCTTAAACTCACGGTACAATATGCCTACCTTAAAAGGATGGGCAACATGGCTGGATATTAAATGTAATGCGATTTTAGTTGATTGAAGTTCAACTTTTACAACAATTAACGTTACAGTTAATTTTATTTTCAAATTGGCTAATGAAAGCATTTCCCCAACTTTTTACAGGTTATTATCTGTACATCGAAACTTCAAGTCCACGACAGTTCGGTGATAAAGCTACAATTCTAACACCTTACTTGAACGGCCCACAATGCATGAAATTTTCTTACCATATGTACGGTGGTCAAATTGGAGTGCTGAACATATATGCGAATAACCAAAGGCTGTTCTCAAAATCGGGAAATCAAGGAAACCAATGGGTGGGTGTGAAAACTCCAATCTTACAACGTGGAAGATATAAGGTGAGTAAAGGAAGCAGTATTTCAGATACACAAACAACAGCACAACATTTGAGTGAAAGACCGTTCTTTTTTCAATTAAACGAAGAGGGAACTGAGGTAATTTCGGTACGAACCTTGGTCATTATTTTCTTGTGCTTCAACCCACAATATTTTTGTGCCAAACCCGAAAGGATAATCCAACGCTGTTGTTGCACAAATATTTCATTTTAATTTTGTTTTCAAAATGACACAGGTTATTCAATTTGTTCTATAAATATTTAAGGTTAAGTTTGAAGGCGTTCGCGGTGGTGGTTACGAAGGTGATATTGCAATCGATGGTATAAGCTTCACTCCAGGAAGTTGCTCAGTCCAAACACCAAAACCATCATCAACATCTCGACCAACAAACCCTCCAGGTACTGTACTGGTCTACCACTTTTACCATTTTTTGGTTAATACAACCAAGTCATTATATACAAATAATAACCACATGTCGGGATTGTGTGCCACTACTCTTTCATCGTAATATTTAGGAAAGTACTAGAAAATACATGCATGCAGAAACCCTCGCCTTGCTGACAAAACCATTGTATTTTCCGAACATGAAGTATCTAAAGTAGTTGTCACGGTAACACGATAATTATTTAAGTATATTCTTACAAATGAAAATTGCCTAAAAATATCACTTTTAATTACAAAATTATCAATTTCCCAAAATATATATGTCAGGTATGTAATTGTACGTAATACATGCTTTAATTTAATTAAGGTAAAACTCAACCACAAACAATTCGCAAAACGTTTTAAAGTGTTCTTTATAAAACTAAACTGCCTTTAGCTATTAAATGGCTTTATCGATAAACTTTGAGTTTGCAATAAAATAATTTCAAATTTTCGCTTGCAAATAACTTTGCTTTGTTTTTTATTTAAAAAATTCAATATAATAAAAAACTGGGAATCCATATTAAAGATACACTGAAATTATTGCTGTCTTGTTTAGTTGTTTCATATACGCAAAGGCCGTCGGGTTTTAAAGCCATTATAAAATCAATATTTAAAACAAACTTACCTTCGTTAACGTCGGCTCCCTTCATTTAACGGATTCTTTCGCCCTTTCTTTCTTGAAATTTACAAAATCTTGCAGAAATGTGAGCAAAAATGAAATATATTTGCAAGAAATTTATCAATCATCAAATCAAGAAATGTTTCCTATTTCGCTGTCGTCATCCAGTCGTTATAATGCAAACTTTAAATTGGACCAATCAGTGTCCGTTATTCATGAAATCCGCCATATTTTTGAGATCAGTGAGGATGACCACCCATGACCCATCGTTGGTGACCCACGCCCGCGATAATTGATGAACTTTAGACTTCGCCAATGCTTCGTTTCCCCGGGTGTAAATAGCAGGGGGGAATTCGTACCCTCGCACGGCGCTTCGCGCCGGTGGCTCGGGGCGGGAATATATTTATGAAAGTATATTTATAATATAGCATTTGTAAATTCTGAAGATTGGCTAAGAGCCCTGTTGATATAACTCAATGTCAACACGGAAACGTCAGAAAATTTATTTCTTTATTTCTTGGTGCTATATTATAAAACAAATATAAAACAACTTTTCCGTATTGATATTTAACAAATATAAAACATTTTCCGTGTTGATATACAGTTATATCAACACGAGTGGAAGTTGGGAAAACGAGAAATTGTATGGAAACACGACGCCCGAAGGGCGGAGTGTTTTCATACAATTTCTAGTTTTCCCAACTTCCACGAGTGTGGATATAACTATATATCAATACGGAAAAAATGTTTTATATTTTTTTTATAATATAGCAATGTTAAAAGCCCGAAGGATAAGAAAAATTTCCGTGTTTACAAGCGGCGGAAAATTTTCCGTGTTGACATTGAGTTATATCAACACGGCTCTTAGCCAATCAGCGTTCAGAATTTACAAATGCTATATTATAAATATATAGTTATATCAACGCTCGTGGAACTTGGGAAAACTCTAAATTGTGTGAAAACACTCCGCCCTTCGGGCGTCGTGGTTCCACACAATATCTTGATATAACTGTATATCAACACGGTACATTTTTTATATTTGTTAAATCATATTTAAAAAAGTATATAATATCACAATTTTGTACTGATGAAATAGTCTGCAAGTAAGTAATATAAGTAAGCATAATACTTGATATAAAAGGTCATGAAAAAGTTCCGATGGAGGAGTGGGCTATTCCGTCAATGTACGGTATGCATGTGTGTGTATGTATGTGTGTATCTTCCGAGGTCTGAATACCGACTTACTGCGACGTCCAATATATTCCCTTTGAAAGGAATTTGCCTTTTGATAGGAATCTTTGCTTAATGCAATTACACAGGGTGCGGGTTCCAATTCACCTGAGCAAGAGGCTATCGATAAATATGCCTATAACAACTGATGCCTAAAAATATTTTTTGATGAGGGAGGAAAAACGATCGAACGGAAAAATACCACATTTAAGCACAGGAAAGAACCACCCAATGAAGCTCATAGAATAACTCGAGCTTAATGTAAGTATACGTCCTACGATGGATTAACAGCAGCCGGCTCAAGCGATAACCTGAATTTTGCGATGAAAACGAATGAAGTAAGGTTGTAAAAGCCGAATATGAGGTAAGCGTGTGAATTCACCACAGAATTACATGCCGAATGGCAATACTGTTGCACCTAAACATGTGCATGGAATGATATCAAATGATGCTTGATTTCGTGTTTAGCCTCTTGATGTTGTTATAATTCACACCGTGGCAGTTTCATTCAATAGCACTAACTTCATTGGTACTTGAGCCAACATATTCCTTTGTCCACCAGAAGAGAAAAATTGCCGGGTAGTGTTCTGTTTGAATAAACTAGGTCTCGCTGAATAGGCCTACTCTGGGGTGGTAAATTGCCTAAAATAGCCTTAAATCGCCTAAAATCGCATTAAATTGCGGGTTAAAACTGTCAAATTTCTCTTAAATCGCTTAAAATCGCATTAACTTGCCAACATGCATTCTGTTTGATACATTCAGTTTTTGTACACAAGCTTATCAATTGCTGCTATTTTGTGGCAAATCATGTAATTCAGGTGTATTGCGATCAAATGTAATGCAACATGGATAAATCAAATAAGTGGATTAGGCTGACAATATTTAGTCACTCAATAGGCTCCGGTCATTAATAAAAACAGAGCCTTTTTCTGCTTTATGCAGACTTTACAATAATTAGGCAATTCTGGGATATAAAAGACCCATAGATTCCATTACACTACCAGCAACAAAATTGAGTTACTAGTTAATTTCATTATCGGCTGGGCTACAATTTCTGTGGACTATGGGGGGCTGGGCTACAAATTAATCTATAATGTACATGGCTTCTCAAAGCCTAATTGCTGTTAGAACAACAGTAGGAGACTATGATAATGAGAGTCAATGAGTACGAGTATATAATAAGGCCAGGCATCCTGCAATTTGTGCACTGTTGCATGTAGATTGAGCACTGCATTGTATACAATGGTTGTACTTCGACATGTGCATGGTTATACTCTAGCTCCTAGTTATAATTATATTGGCTATCAAACGAAAAACATACGTGACTTTGAGCGAGATTTGCAAGTTTTGCAACTCTCATCTATTAAATTTTGCAGACCTGTATATAAAATAAACAGTAAAACTATGATTACATCGTACATACCAGGGCCATCGTACATACCATACAATCTTTGTTGTTGTTTGTTTGCAGAACACTTGACAAATTATAAGGTAAAAGACTGAAAACCACGATGTAGTGCGCGGTGTGCCACTTGTTTAATTTAATATCATTTGTTTAGTATTTTTTTTAAATAAGGGACCGGTCATAAAGTAGAGGGGAGGGGGGTGGGCTATGAAAATTGATTTTTTAAAGACTGGTTTACAGTGACCCACCCCCAAATTGTGACAATAAATTGAGGTGGCCCACCCCTAGATTAGAGCAGAAATCTTAGTGACCCCCCCCCCGTCATGTAGATAATGTACTGTACGGTAATGTAGATAGGTGCGCGTACGTTGGCAGCATTGGCTTACCACGATTCTTTACTAGTTTAGTCAGAATCCCCGAAAAATCTCCAAGATTGAAATGTTGTAACACGCCGCCCGACTCTTGAACATAATTCAACTATGTCCAAACATAATGCATGACAGTACATTCAGGGCCGTAGGAAGCTCTTTTCGATTGGGGGGGCTGAAAGCGAGGGCCGAAGGCCCGAGGAAATTTTTAAATTTAGAGTCTCTAAAATGCCATTTCCTGGACTTTGGGGGAAGATTTAACAGAATTCTGATAGTCAGAAAACAGCGTTTTAGTATGTCGAAATTTACAGGAAAGTATGGGCCAGACTGTAGTATTATAAATGCGCGGCGGGAATTTTCGCCGTAAATGGCAGTTGCGCGGAAATGAAGGCAGAACATTGGAGAAAATTTCGAAAATCTGGAGTCTCTAGATGGTCTGAAATGGCATTTTCAGAGTTTTCTTTCGCAAGACCCAACACGCAAAAGACAAAATAAATCATTAGTTCATCAAAATGTGCAGATTTTGTGGGATTTTCTTGAAAATGCGCGACAGAAATTCAGCTAAAATTTCTACGCGAGGAACGATCTGGAGTATGAGTAATATCTTCATTCTTTGCAGTTTGTCACAGATTAAATGATAAAGTTTGCATGATTTTGAAAAAAGAATGATTATTAGCAAATTATTGGGGGGGCTGCAGCCCCCCAGCCCCCCCGGTTGCTACGGCCCTGACATTGAGTAGACTACGGTAACTAGAACACTTCCCAATGTACTGTATACAAATGTGAATTCCTGTTGTTTAATCAGGGGCGAAACTTGAGGGGGGTGTGGGGGGTGTTACACCCCCCAAAATACGAATCGTCCCGATTGGCAGGGCAATCAAAGGTCTATTATAAATAAATGATAGCACATAGGCGTACCGGGCGGGGGCAATATTCGATCGGGGAGGTCGCCAAAATAATTTTTCCGGAAAAATTTTTTTGGTACTTTTTGGCAGGGCATCACTGGTTTTGGCAGGGCAATTCTGCCAGACACCCCCTAATTAAAAGGCGCTAGTTTCGCCCCTGTGTTTAATATATAAAGTTAATAGGTTAAAGAGATTTCGCAAAAGTTTTTATTTGCTATTTATTAAATTGTGAGACGTGAATAATTTTACCTGACCCACCCCTAATGCAGTGCATAAATTTTCCTGACCCACCCTTTTCGACGTGTTGAAAAATAGTGACCCACCCCCAATTTTTCATAGCCCCCCCCCACCTCTACTTTATGACCGGTCCCTAATTTAGAATTCCTACCATTTATATGCGATATACTTCATGTAAATTAAACTTTACGGCATTACGCCGACAGTTTCCGAATGCGTGACGATGCTGTTTCTGGATATAAATATCAAACATAATTTTATAAAATATGTTTGTTGAAACAGTTTCAATAAAATGCAGAGTAAAATGCAAGCTAAATAAAGAAGTGTTGACAAGATACAAAACAAGACAATTTCAGTCACAAGGGACGGGTGACAAGGTAATTTATAGGATTATAGCTTATTGTAACTGTATAAATACATTGTGCGTTTCTAGTTTCTACTCCCTGTGGGCTGTGGTTCTTTTGGAAATCAAATATCTATTATATTTTGCAATTAATAATATTAAAGTTTAAGACATGTGCATGCATGTAGTCTAGTTATAGGTTGGCATTTTGCAATTATGTACCGTACATGCCCCTTAAGGATAGAATATTTATTAACTGTTTACAATATTTGTGGTATATAATGTAGCCATGAATCGACCACATGACCCAACAGGATGAACTCCAATGGCTTCTAAATAGACAATGGATGAAAAGTTCATGAATATTGAGTTTATATATGATTCGGGGTAAATACAATAATTATTAACCTAGCTTTATATAGAATGTGCATACATGTTCTAATAATTGTATTTTGCTTCATACAATGCATCATGTGTGTGGAAACATTACATTATTATTCAGCTCACTCCCCATTGGGGGTTTTCAGTGACCGATTACATCAAGTATTAGGATTACTTATGTTAGTCTAGACTATTTTACAATGAGAATATGATATTACTTTTCTAACTGTGTTTATTCTAACCCACCCTACCAATTTTGCCCTGTGTGAGGAAACCGGAGCAAAATGTAAATTTCAATTACCTTGAAAACACCTAAATTGCAATCCTTAAAATTTAGAATTTTCTCTTAAATCGTCTTAAGAGTGAATGTCAGTAAAAATCGAACATATGAGACAATTCGCGGCCACGACTGAAAAATCGATTTTGCTCAAATTTTGCCCAGATATACCTTATTATATCGGAAAATGCACCCATATATTTTTTAGGTTTTTAACTTTGAGAAAATTCCGATTTAACACGACCACCCTAAATCGCCATTTTTTCTGGGAAAATATGCGCTGATTTTACAGATAAATTTCACGACGACAACCGTTTCTAATCGATCTAAAACCCTAAAAATCTTGTTTTCGGTTATTCAAAGGACGGTATACATGACTTACAGGAAATCTGAGTTACATTTAGGAATAGATATAATCGTAGTTTTGGAGCACACTATCTTACTTCATTTACGATACCCTCTTAACAAAACCGATTTTCACCATGCGATAAAGCTCCAAATCGATCATGCTTCTAAAGTTGGCTCTTTAATAAGCAAGCTTTCAACTGACGTAAATACTTCTTTTGGCAAATGAATACGCGATAAACGACAGCAGTAGATACCCCCCCCCCATATAGGGGCCAAAGGGTGCCGACAGTGACGTAACAATAGGAAGGATTATGTAACAATGGAAAAGTAATTAACATCAATTAACATCAATTAGCGATCACGCTACCTTGAATCTTAGTTAGTGATATCGATTGTTTATTAGAATAACAATATGATACCGTTATCGTTTAAATAATGACATGCTGGTATCGGTATCATTAAACCGAATTCAATGAAGCATCAATTAGCGTCTCGTGGTCATTAAAATCTAGCACAAAATGATGTCTTATCAAAGAAACAGAATACCGTTATCATTGAATTAATAACACGGTGATTTTATCAAAATAACAATACGATGATACTGTTATCATTTAAATAACAACATGCTGATATTGATAGGAAAATTATTATAAATAGACAAGAGCAATTTCATTTTCTGACGAGAACTTTCGCTGAGAAAGGATTATTTTTTACGAAATACTTTGAACATGAGTTTTTTCCAATCGAAAGAGCGTGCGGCATTTTGTTTACTAATGGACGAAGTTGCATCTTATGAAGTGAAAAATTTATGTGGTCTGATGGATGCTATATTTTCTGAAGCTGTTTCCGATGAAGTAGCGAAAATACGTAAGGAAAAGTGTTGTGACTGTAAAGTGGATTACCCGAGTCAGAGAAGACATGAATGTCTCATGTTAACACTTGAAGAAAGTTGGAGAACGTACGGTTTGGACGCCATAGAGCAAGTAATCGAACGGGGAATACTCTGGAAGCTGTTTAACGAAGCTATTCGTGTGCAGAAATTGGATTATTACGAAGTTGTAAGAGAACATTATGAGAACTTGACTAAAAATTATGAAACAACTCTTGAATTCCTAAAGGATTTGAGGTATAACTCAGAATTTTTCGACTACCAAGCTATTTTGGGTTATCTATATTACTGGAGCGAAAACCAGTATGCATGAAACAATATGCATGAAAGTTTAGAACAGTATGTATAAAACACTTTTACATGTAATATTTTTGTTATGAACAAATTATTATTAAATGTAATGTTCAAAAGAAGGATAACGCAGATTATTTTAGAGCAAAATATGCTTGGATGCATACATAAATTAACAAACAGATCAATGAGTACAAACGAAATACTCAAGAGAGGTTCATTTTTTTTATTCATTTTTTTTATTTCATTTTTTCGCTATTTGCATACACCTACGGTCATTAAACGATCATTAGCAATAAGATGCGTACAATGTACATCATAATAGGGATATTGAAGGATAATATCGGGCTATTATAAGCGTGGGCATAGAGCGGGGGCATAAAATAGGCAAAAGCACATGATTTCATTTTCAGAGCACATTTATTTCTTTAATTAAGTACTACAAAGTTAATAATTGTTGTCTGTATAAATATATTATCCACTTAAGAGTTTTATTCCGTTTTTGTTTCTAACTTTAACCGCTTCTTTGTGTCATCATCCATTTCTGTATTGTCCATGTTCTTTGCAAGCTTTGTATTTGATTTTGTTCTCCTCCTGGAGGATTTTGGTTGACGGATGGGTATATCTTTTTAAAGCTCGCTTGCCGCAGATGGGACAATCTTTACACTTCCGAGGCATAATGTCATATGATAAATGTCAACTGATATTCTAACATTAAATAGTTGTGGCCCCAAAGGCCTTTTTCGTTTGCCGGGACTTTGGAGAGGGTTAGAGAAATGGGTTAGGGGAAAATAGCTACCACACAGGATCGTTTAAACCAAACACAAACAACCATTAAGGGTCAATGTCACTAGGAGACCATGTGTTTCTGAAAAGTCTTTTCAAAAGAAATTTTCTCTTGTCAATAGCGGCCTCTAACGCTTCCCTGTGGTCGAAATTATCATCGTTGACAAAGACATCCCTGGTTTCCATAATCTTTTTGTGTAATGGATCCCTCTTTAGTTGTCTTATCCATAGTAGACGTTCCAGATAAATATTCTGCAAGTCTTTACGAAGTTTTGGTAGGATAAGTAAGTATGCCTTGTCTTTTGCTTCGTTTTCGTCAAAACCTTCTGCAGTGAAATTCTGCGTTAGTTCTTCAAATTCCGACAAACTTTGTTGGGCTGCTTCAGCTTTTAAAGGAGCCCATGGGTCGCTTTCGTATTCATCACCTACTTTACTACTAGTATCATTTACATTATCACAATCACTTTCTGACGCAGAATCAGTTTGCGCTTCGTTGTCAGTGTTATACAAATTCTCAACATCACTCTCTGATGTAGCACTATCAGAGTCTGTGGTCGTTCTCATTCTTTTCATCTTTACACTGAAATCTGTAGTAGGTTTCCAACACGACTGTAATTCCTTCGTATATTGTTAGGTTGAAACAACTCCAGCCACAACCAACTGGCGAATGATCAATATTTTGAACAACATTGCATTTTATGAAGTGTCCCCAAGGGCCTTTTCTACGGCCTTGTGGCCCGATTGGCAGGGCTACTTCGCAACAAGCCTCCCCACCAAGCGAATTCTAGAGAATCGGGCCGCAAGGCCATAGAAAAGGCCCTTGGGGCCAATTCAAAAAGTGTCCCCAAGGGCCTTTTCTACGGCCTTGTGGCCCGATTGGCTGGGTTACTTTCAACCAAGCCTCCCCACCAAGAGGATTCTAGAGAATCGGGCCACAAGGCCATAGGAAAGGCTCTTGGGGCCAATGCGAAAAGTGGCCCATCCCAACCAATCATCTATCGTGACACAAGGCCATAGAAAGGTCCCTTGGTCCCACTTTCGCATTGGCCCCAAGGGCCTTTCCTATGGCCTTGTGGCCCGATTCTCTAGAATTCGCTTGGTGGGGAGGCTTGTTGCAAAGTAGCCCTGCCAATCGGGCCACAAGGCCGTAGAAAAGGCCCTTGGGGACACTTTTTGAATTGGCCCCAAGGGCCTTTTCTATGGCCTTGCGGCCCGATTCTCTAGAATTCGCTTGGTGGGGAGGCTTGTTGCGAAGTAGCCCTGCCAATCGGGCCACAAGGCCGTAGAAAAGGCCCTTGGGGACACTTCATAAAATGCAATGTTGTTCAAAATATTGATCATTCGCCAGTTGGTTGTGGCTGGAGTTGTTTCAACCTAACAATATACGAAGGAATTGCAGTCGTGTTGGAAACCTACTACAGATTTCAGTGTAAAGATGAAAAGAATGAGAACGACCACAGACTCTGATAGTGCTACATCAGAGAGTGATGTTGAGAATTTGTATAACACTAACAACGAAGCGGAAACTGATTCTGCGTCAGAAAGTGATTCTGATAATGTAAATGATACTAGTAGTAAAGTAGGTGATGAATACGAAAGCGACCCATGGGCTCCTTTAAAAGCTGAAGCAGCCCAACAAAGTTTGTCGGAATTTGAAGAACTAACGCAGAATTTCACTGCAGAAGGTTTTGACGAAAACGAAGCTAAAGACAAGGCATACTTACTTATCCTACCAAAACTTCGTAAAGACTTGCAGAATATTTATCTGGAACGTCTACTATGGATAAGACAACTAAAGAGGGATCCATTACACAAAAAGATTATGGAAACCAGGGATGTCTTTGTCAACGATGATAATTTCGACCACAGGGAAGCGTTAGAGGCCACTATTGACAAGAGAAAATTTCTTTTGAAAAGACTTTTCAGAAACACATGGTCTCCTAGTGACATTGACCCTTAATGGTTGTTTGTGTTTGGTTTAAACGATCCTGTGTGGTAGCTATTTTCCCCTAACCCATTTCTCTAACCCTCTCCAAAGTCCCGGCAAACGAAAAAGGCCTTTGGGGCCACAACTATTTAATGTTAGGATATCAGTTGACATTTATCATATGACATTATGCCTCGGAAGTGTAAAGATTGTCCCATCTGCGGCAAGCGAGCTTTAAAAAGATTGGCAAACCATTTGGCAGACGTCCATGAACTTTCTTCCAAAGAAAGACAACCTTATCTTATTCGTGCTAAGCCAACAGCTTTAGACTTAGAAAATGTTTTAGCAGAGTTGTACAGATTAATTGGGAACAGTAAAAAGCAGTCAAAGTGGAATAAAAGCGGAATAAAGAATATACCCATCCGTCAACCAAAATCCTCCAGGAGGAGAACAAAATCAAATACAAAGCTTGCAAAGAACATGGACAATACAGAAATGGATGATGACACAAAGAAGCGGTTAAAGTTAGAAACAAAAACGGAATAAAACTCTTAAGTGGATAATATATTTATACAGATAACAATTATTAACTTTGTAGTACTTAATTAAAGAAATAAATGTGCTCTGAAAATGAAATCATGTGCTTTTGCCTATTTTATGCCCGCGCTCTATGCCCACGCTTATAATAGCCCGGTATTATCCTTCAATATCCCTATTATGATGTACATTGTACGCATCTTATTGCTAATGATCGTTTAATGACCGTAGGTGTATGCAAATAGCGAACATAACAACGCATAGTAACGCGTTCATGTGCTTACTTCGCTTGGTATATTTATTAACATTGCACGTTGTGAACTACAAGCGATTTATTGCAAGGGTATCTACATAAAAAAATGAACCTCTTTTGAGTATTTCGTTTGTACTCATTGATCTGTTTGTTAATTTATGTATGCATCCAAGCATATTTTGCTCTAAAATAATCTGCGTTATCCTTCTTTTGAACATTACATTTAATAATAATTTGTTCATAACAAAAATATTACATGTAAAGGTGTTTTATACATACTGTTCTAAACTTTCATGCATATTGATTCATGCATACTGGTTTTCGCTCCAGTAATATAGATAACCCAAAATAGCTTGGTAGTCGAAAAATTCTGAGTTATACCTCAAATCCTTTAGGAATTCAAGAGTTGTTTCATAATTTTTAGTCAAGTTCTCATAATGTTCTCTTACAACTTCGTAATAATCCAATTTCTGCACACGAATAGCTTCGTTAAACAGCTTCCAGAGTATTCCCCGTTCGATTACTTGCTCTATGGCGTCCAAACCGTACGTTCTCCAACTTTCTTCAAGTGTTAACATGAGACATTCATGTCTTCTCTGACTCGGGTAATCCACTTTACAGTCACAACACTTTTCCTTACGTATTTTCGCTGCTTCATCGGAAACAGCTTCAGAAAATATAGCATCCATCAGACCACATAAATTTTTCACTTCATAAGATGCAACTTCGTCCATTAGTAAACAAAATGCCGCACGCTCTTTCGATTGGAAAAAACTCATGTTCAAAGTATTTCGTAAAAAATAATCCTTTCTCAGCGAAAGTTCTCGTCAGAAAATGAAATTGCTCTTGTCTATTTATAATAATTTTCCTATCAATATCAGCATGTTGTTATTTAAATGATAACAGTATCATCGTATTGTTATTTTAATAAAATCACCGTGTTATTAATTCAATGATAACGGTATTCTGTTTCTTTGATAAGACATCATTTTGTGCTAGATTTTAATGACCACGAGACGCTAATTGATGCTTCATTGAATTCGGTTTAATGATACCGATACCAGCATGTCATTATTTAAACGATAACGGTATCATATTGTTATTCTAATAAACAATCGATATCACTAACTAAGATTCAAGGTAGCGTGATCGCTAATTGATGTTAATTGATGTTAATTACTTTTCCATTGTTACATAATCCTTCCTATTGTTACGTCACTGTCGGCACCCTTTGGCCCCTATATGGGGGGTTATCTACTATCACAGCTAGAAAGAGCGTATTATAGAATGAGTAAAACTCCAAGGATTGGTTGCTAAATTAAATGTTATAAAATGAAGAAAATATAGACTCCTGTGAAGTTCGCAAATTTTTTATATATTTTTATTACGTGCGGTAAAAATAATCACTTTTGGCTTCAAAATTGTTATTTTACCCGCGCGTAATGCAAATTAATATATACAAAATTTCCGAACTTCACAGGGCTATATTTTCCTCATTTTACAACTATCCGCAACCACACATTGATATTTTACTCATTTTAAGATGCTCTTTCCAGCTATAGTAATAGATTTCGTCCTTCTTGTCTAGATCAAAATTTCGCCTATAGCTGAAATCCTCCATTCAACATCGAGATTTTTAGCCATCTCGCTCGATAGAACTAACAGTTGAACGGTTTTGTATAGATGCAAATTTCGTGGGAAACATTATATACAATTTTGGAGCTGCTCCTCCTGGTTAGCTATATAATCTTCAGATCCACATTTCCACTGTACAAAAAAAACGTTCAATTAGCTGTTAGTCTCCGAATGCCCTTTAGTTATAAAATATTTCGAAAGTACACGATCTTAGTCACCTTGTCCAATTTCGCTCAACTTTATGCCAAGTTTCGCGTCAGAGCCATGCAAGGCGCTCTTGGACACAGTTCGTCTGGGTTTGATCTTGACACGAAGTCTGGTAACTAGCTTGATTTCTACGGAGGAAGTACGGAACAACTTGGCAGCCTTGTTTGACAGCGGTGGTAGTGGCAATCGTGCGACACTCTTTAGTTGACTAACTGACAAGGCGAAATGAAGTAGAATTTAATGTAAAGAGAGGCAGAGAGAGACAATTTATTGGGTTGTTGCAGATGATCAGGAACGTGGCGACCGGGGAGAGGGGCGTAGAAGGTGTAACAACCCACCCCCTCGCAATATTTGTTTATGAGTAATTTCAGATGAATTGCTAGATAATTCAAATTGATTTTCAGGTAATCATTAACAGGCAAACGTAGAGGTTAAAAGTGAACGCAGGCTAAGAATGCAAAAGTTTAGCGTGCTTTGTGAGGGTATAAATCTTAAAAATTTGTATTCTAAGCAATTTTGTTTTCTGAAAGCTGCGGATTGGTAGCGGATACAACTGAAAAAATACAAGGAGAACTTCGACGTTTCGAGCGAAGGCCCTTCGTCGAGCTGCTATAATTATAACAGTTTCCGACTAAGGGAAGAAGTTCTCCTTTGTCGACGGCCGGCCAAAACTTGAAAATGTGCAATAGAATTTGTATGATGGCATTTTCTGTTTCTTAGAATATGGACATCAATGAACAAGGCTACATATGTTGGCAACTCTGATTTCGGCCTTATAGGAGAAAATTTTAGAATTTTAAAATTTTGCAAATTAGTACCACGTTAAATTAATTGACAAAAAATGCAAAGTATCAAGTTCACTTATAAGTTTTAACAAAAATAAGCTATCCGTTAGAATGTTTGCAAGAAAGTATATATAAGACATTTAATAAGCTAGTATCATGATTATCTTTGATGATGTTGAGTTTTTACTCAAAACCGACTTAAAAATTCGCGTTACTTTCTAGTCTTGCTTAAAAGTCTTACATATCCTTTTTTGGCAGTAACTAGTGACAAACCTTTAATTCGTCCGTAGGCAACATTACGTGGGTTCACATACTCGGCGCACACGCAACCAGGTTGATTATTCAAATCAAGAAAATCTTTGGATCGATACGGTGTGGATGTCATTAACCCAGCTTGCGTGAGGAAATATGTATTGAACTTGTGCGCGTTGCTTTGCTTCTGCCAGTCCCACCAGATCTTATCAACGAAACCATGATGCAAGAAAAACTCGGGAGCAGTTGCGGAATCTATAGTGCACATTTTGCCATCGATACGGCAATGAACAAGATCGTGGAATTGGATTCGCAACATTTGTTCGAAATTGAAGAAGTCTGCCGGGTTGGAATTTGACGATATCAGATTCTGTACTGCAATTGCGTCTGGGGCTGTACCTGCAAAGTCTCACCTCAAGCATCCTCCCCCGGCGCTAGCTGGAAGTGACCACACCCCCTGTCTGAATGGGCCAGTGTTCACACAGCTCCCCCCTGGCACTCCATTCCCACCGAAGCCGCCCGCACCTGTGTTCCAAATCGAACTCGAGAAAGGGTTAGCTCCGACCAAACTCCAGTCCCAATAAGGAACGGTGACGCGACAATCGATTTGTTGTAGAAGATTTTCGTATTGTAATATGTACCAACGATGCCACGGTAGGAAAAAGTCTATATCGTGAATACCACTGAAGAAGATTGTTTTGTGTAGTGTCAGAAGGGTGTCATATTGAGGCTTGTAAGCTGGATTGGTCGAAGCTGTCTTAACAGTGTTGATGTAGCGAACGCGTTCAGTGTAGGACATGTCTGTAAATTCTCTTCGAAGGCGACAACACTTGACCAGTTTTCCGTTTAGGCATCTGCATTTTCTTCCGCATTCATCGTAAACTGTCTGACCGTTGTAGCACTTCTTGGAAAGATCTGTGTTAGAAATGTTTAGTATTAGTATTGGCAGTGGCGTAACGGAGGAAGAGGCGGCCCTTGGGCATATTTGGAGTGGGGCCCCTGTTGATTGTTGTCATTGTTTGACTGTAATATTATACAGTATTTATATTGAATATTTATAGAATGTTCTGCTCATTTTCAGTAGGTGTGGTATATGATTTATATAAATTATGCACAAATTTTCTAACAGTCCATGATGCTGGAAAACATTGCTTACAGTCACTAGTAGTTGAGATTGTCATGTAGTATTTTCACTGAAGAAATACAATTATTTGTTGTTGTGCGTTCATATAGACATGTTATTTATCTGATTGTCATTTGCAGGGTTCTGGGTCATTTTCATTACTTTGTGAAAAGCTTATTTTCTTTGATTTATAAACTTTTTAGTTTTGACTCTATTTGATAAATCAAGAACTTGCTTTCAAATTCTAACCTAAACAGGTTCTTATTTAAGCGGGGTCTAGATAAAATGTTTAGCCTAACAGACTCTTAAATTCTCGGTTATTATATGTAGGGTTTTCTGTATTTGTAACTCTCTGTAACTCACCTCCTCTAATGGCTTGAGTGACTTGATTCAAAACTGCATAATTTGCAACGTGAAACACGTGGTTTGGTGATGTCGCAATTGCCAACAGTTCGCTCTGTCGGATGTTGTACGTAATTCCCAAAGCAAATATAATCACCCCAGCACTTTTCAACTGACCTGCCGGGATCCCGGGAGTGACCCCGCGGTTGGATTTGCTATCTGTTAGAACAAAAACCACTTTTTTGGCACCACTTCTCGCTCCGGCTGCCGCGTTGAAGATAAGACTGTTACGAACATATTGTAGGGCAGTGCCTGTTGCTGTCATGCCGCCGGTGTATCTAGTGAAATAAAAGTAACTTTGCGGAACTTTATAAAAACACGGGGAAAGGAAAAGTAGAGTGTTGTGCACCAGTGTTATATACAGTAGTGACATATATAAATACTGGAAGGGTTGGGAGGGAGGCTGACATGCCTATAATTATAATGTTTAAAAACGGCATATTTCTGGGGTAAATTGGGTGATTCCATGCAGCTATAGACGAAATTTTTATCTAGTCAAGAAGAACGAAATCCATTACCACAGCTGGAAAGAGCATCTTAAAATGAGTAAAATTGCAAAGTTTGGTTGCGAATAGTTGTAAAATGAGGAAAATATAGCCCTGTTACAAGTTTTGTATATATTTGCATTACGCGCGTGAAAAATAACCACTTTTGAGCCGAAAGTGGTTATTTTTACCGCATGTAATAAAAATATTTATGTACAAAATTTGCGAACTTCACAGGGCCGTATATTTTCTTCATTTTACCACATTATTTAGCAACTAATCGTTGCAGTTTTACTCATTCTAAGACGCTCGTTCTAGCTGCGGTGTTGGATTTCATCTTCTTTCCTTGATCAAAATTAAGTCTGTAGCTGGAATCATCCATTTTACTATTTACCAAATACTCAATAACTTGTCTTTCAAAATTACATCCAAATCATGTGGGACACAGCAAGCGCCTTACACCTCTGAGATCGTTGGTTCGATGTTCGCTACATGCTCAAGTGAATAGAGTCTGTCAACGCTATGGCGAAAGTCGTAGGTTTAAACTGTCGGTGCTCCGGTTTCCTCCCACAGGGAAGGTTGACCGCACTTACTTACCTTATATCTTGAATGCCTTTCCGTAAACATTCTTTATTGATATATTTATTAAAATTGAACTCCAGTTTTACAAGAGTTGAATATGTAACGATAGCCACTCGAGTTCGGGCGGGAAAAATTGGAAAATATTCAATCAAATTTGCAACAAATTGTTTCTCCAGGTTGAAATTTCTTCGCCCAATGCTTCCAGATCTATCCATGACAAACACCATGTCTATTTTGTACGAGGCTATAAAAAGGAAAACAATCGTGCTTCATGTATAAGACATGATGCATGTTAAAATTGCTCTCGTAACATGTAAGGAAACTCAGGAACACATGCACTAAGGATTGGACCATTAGAAAAACGATGGGAAGTGGGGGAAGGGTTTGGTATGAGTGACATGGACAATAAAAAAAATGTCATGAATGAAAATTGGTTAAAGCCCTCTTAAATCTTATATAATTAATTGTTCGGCCATTAAAAAACAATGCAGGCCTTGGGCCAAGACATTTTCTTCAACACCCTTTCGTAACCTAGCACCACTTTAAAGTGTCGTCCCACTTTGGGAAGTTCCGCCCGTTTTTGATTTTGAAAGAAAAAACTTAACCAATATTTGATATGATTAATAGCCTTTATGAATTGTCGAGTGCATCAATTAGTGCATGGGTATATGTTATATTAAGAAATTGTGAAATAACGAATGTATTAGCCGCAAAGCCCTCGTCCACTTGAAAAAAAACCTGAATGATAACCTCGGCAATTGTTTGTTTATGATCATATGTCGATTGACAGAAAAAAAACTCTAAATTCTCAAACTTTCTAAAGCTCCCGGTCAAACGTTTCGCCTCGTATCAGGGACGTCGCGAAGCCATCAACATGGGGGAGGGGTGTCGTCATGTTTTGACCAACATTTCCTAGGATTTTGACCAAGTCGTACAAATTTTCCCCAAAATGTTGCGACGGGGGGTGGGGGATGGGACGGGGGGGGGAAAGGTCAAAAAAAAATTTCCGGACCTACATAAGCATACTCAAAATTTTTCGACCAATATATGCAAGACTTCCAATTTTTTACTGCAAACATAAGAAAAACTTTAAAACTGTTACAATTGCGAACCATTTCATATTTTTGAGCAACTTCGACCATCTTTTATCCCAAACTTTGACCAAATTCACTTTTAAGCAAATATCAGTTCCATTTTGACCAACTTTGGGCAAATATCAGTTCCATTTTGACCAGCTTTGACCAACGTTTGAATTATTGGGGGGGGGGTTATACCTCCCCCCCCCCATAGCGACGTCCCTACCTCGTATCTTTATATCTGATAAAACACTGCTGCTCATATTTTAAATATAGTACATAATACTAAAATAAAGTAATTTTGTGCATGAAAAACACCGCAAGGTTTTATGGTTTTAAATCGCAAATATATGTGATATAGAAAAAATTATCTTCCACTGTATATCAATAATGCTCTTAAAAATACGCTTGATTGATTTCTCACTCTACTCAGATGAATATCCAATAATGGTAATTCGAATTTTTTTTTGAAATTCAGAGATGTGTTGGAAATATTGTTACAAACAATGATTCGTGTTTGGCCCATCCCACCGCATTTCTTACTTGAAGAGGGACGTCCGCGGAAACGAGGTCTCCCGCGCGCACCCTTCTTTTCCGCCAGCCCGACAAATGTTGATTTCAATCTATTGAATGTAGTTTTTGCACTCTGGACAGCTCTCTTTGATATCTCGTCAGTCGATGTTTCATCTCGAAAAGCATCATCTTTTGACAGCTCCTCTGTATAAGGAAATAAAAATCGGGTTGTTAGGATCAATATTCTCCCTATATAGAGGTACAGAATATAGCAAGGACAATCTCTCATTATCTCTGGAAGCGGGAGGGGAGGGGGTTGTGCAAAGGTAGAAGTGATGGGGCTACATCAAAACGGGCAGAGTTGTAAAATTTAACGAAGAAGTCAGATTCTTCCTTGCCCGAAATGTAAAACGAACAAAAATGGCATAGTTTCTGCACGTCAAACCATCCCCCGGAACACAGCTAGAGATATCATTTCGTAGAGTACAGATTTCTCCAAGCTATAGCAATATCAGTTCTAAACTGTTCTACCTATAGAGATCCCGTAAGGATCATTCCTTTTCGATTCAGTGTAATTACAGGAAGAAATCTAAACTAGACTAACCGATTATTTATGCTGATTGAATAGCCCTACCAGTTCTACACTGTTCTATACTAATAACAGCGATTTAAATGAATTCAGTACGCACAATGTATGAATGTGGAAATAATTATACAATATCCAAATATCTCTTGCATACAGGTAGCCATTAATTGTTACTAACAAACTGCTACAAGCCTACAACATCAGGAGGCCAAGAAAAACCTTACGCCGTAAGGAAACGTGGATCAGGGCAAGATGTTGTAGTGTCCCCAGACATGCAGGACTTAACAAGCAAATATAAAAAAATGTATGTGTCGTGTAACGTCCTTTTAGCTACAACCCTGGACAAACCATCTGTGAGACCTCCGGTTATTTGACAAAATTTCGTAATATTATCGCAAATTTAGAAAAGAATCTCCCCCTTACCCCACCATTCAATGTTGATTGCATGCATTACCAGAAAACGGTTAAAAAAACGTCCAAGATTGTTTTGGGGGACGGAGAGGGGCAAATGAGTAAATTATTCTGCCATGCACAATGTTTTAATAGAGTGGCGTAGATGGGTTTGACCAGTATTATAGCTAAAAAGTCAAAAGAACTTCAATATATTGGCCCTAAAATCTACTCATTCGCAAACAAGCATCACAATTTACATCTATATATAATTCATAGGCAATTATTGTTTGCTACCTCTGAACCACATTTTTATATAGTCGTTAACAAAAAAAATGTACCTGCATTAAAATTTTTTTCGCAAGAAGAAAATCCTGTAGCAACTAGCAAAGCAGACAGCACGAACAACTTTCGACATGCCATCTCGACTCTACCAAGTAAACTGAACCTTTGTCCCAAATGAAAACTGCTTTTATGCTATACCCTGCCTCAATGCTAGGTTGATGGATATTGGTTTAGACCATATATATAGTTCCTGTTGTCTTGAGTTAATGACGAGTGATCTTTGAATTTGTGACAAAGCAGATATCACTTTTAATGACTCGTGCTGTATCAGTTCAAATCGACCGGAAAGTATATCTGATTTTGAAGTGAGGAAACAAATATAACATAAGCAAGTTAACATATCCTTATATTTAAATATTAAGAAAACAGTCTGAGTTCTACTTTTTCAATAATAATGTTTTTCTATCAATTTGTCATTGTCACAATTATAACAATTAAATTTGAATATTTAAATCTTCAAATGGGTCAAGTCCATCGCGGTAGGTACGGAACGAGGCGGTCCGTGGTATTCTAAAATAAATGCACTTTCGAAGGATGAAAAGCGTTCAAAACACAAAATCATTTTGGTTTATCCCTCAAAATCACAATAGTTAGCCTACGTTGTCGTAGTTGAGTTGTGTGCTTAATCTTAAACTGTCGAATGCAACCTGCTTACAACTTGAGTTGTACTGTGTAATACGGGACAGTACAACTCAAAGTTGTGAAGCAGGTTTCATTCGATAGTCTTAGGCAAACGTCGTGTGGTGTAAATGAACCTTAATGTATAATTTCATCACTTGTAAACTGTTGTATGAATTGGCTTTAAGACATCTCTCGTGCACTCTCATCTTCCTCTTGGCTCTGGCTTTGATCCGGACTTAATCAGTTTTGGGCACGTAACATGCAAAGAATTTCAAATTCAAAAATGATACGGACGCAGTTTCGGAAATGTGGGAAGTTCAGAAGCCGCGGAAGCATTGGCCAAAAGGGACACTTTTGTATATGACTAAAATCAAACCGTTTTATGTCGTTCATGAGCCGAACGAAAATTTTTGAAAATATTGAGTCTCCGTATATATATCGTCGGAAATGGCCTTTACAGAGTCTCTACTGCTGCAAAAAGGGCACTTTCTTTCCAGCAAAAGTGGGCGATCATTTTCGTTCAGTAAATGGGGCACTTCAAACCAGAAAAAGGGCACTTTTTTCACTTTTAAAAAAGTGGGGGAGAGGGGGGGGCACATGCCCACATTGCCCTCCCCTCCCCGATTCGGCTGCCCCTGATGATGTTGCGTCGTTGCCCACTGGCCAATGTATGTGTGCACCTTTTGGTTTTTTCATCTCTGTGACTAGGTTCGATTTCTGCGATATGCAGCTTTCTGATTATAATTTTTCCTCAGTTATATGTGGAAAAAGTATATCTACCAGCTTGTATAAATTGTGTTTTTCAAATGCATAGGTTTTATCTAGTTGATTAACCGAGGTGATTATTTTTAATAATCACCTTGAATATTAATTAACTAAAAATATCGATGAAGGTAAACTCAGAAATTCGTCGTTCAAATCAGACGAAAAGACTAATGTCGTAGTCTACCAAAACTTTGTTGGAAAACGCCACCTCAATCAAGAATTAAATATGATAAACACTTCGAAAGTCGGGATTTATGCCAGATAATGCCCTCGGACGCTGCGCGTCCTCGGGTCATCATCTGACATAAATCCTTCCTTCTCGGTGTTTATCCTATACTTACTCTTTCTATGGTAACACTGCACTGAGAAAATGTGGCTGTTACTGCATCTCCAGAGCTATACAATGTAAATAAAATGTAGCTGGTTTATGTTTCCTCCTGTAGAACGATTGGTCCCAACTGACCTTCAGTGAGACAGTTTAGAACTGTTAGAGCTATCCAGAATAAATAAAGTTAGTTTAGTTTAGGTTTCGTCCTGTAGTAACACTAGCTGTCACTGGGACAATACGGGATGACCCTCACTGTACCTCTATAGTGAAGATAGTTTAGAACTGATAGTGCTACCCAGTAAAAATGAAGTCAATTTATTAATTTTAATTCAATTTGAACAAGTTCAATAGTGTACAAAAGCCCCTTGACGCAAAATTTTTTTCTGAAAGACAGTATACGTAGAAATCAGGAACCAGGAACTATTGTAAGTTGGCGGAATCTGAATTGTACAAGAACAGCTTTTAGAAGTCCTTCCCACGCGTGCTCTAACGCATGTGTATGCATATCTTGGGGGAGATGACACTTGTATGAACTTGGCATTTAGTGGGAGGTTGTACTTCACACGCCCGCGTAATCAAGGACACGCGCTACTATGAGTAAATCTCGAACGATTATTAAAAGAAAAATAATGAGATTAATATTATTCATAATATTATTAATATTATTAATAATATTATAGTTAAAATTAATGATACAAAATTGTTATCATTTTTTTCTTCTTCACATCATGCGGAAACAATAATCTCACGCCGATCACGTGTCATCATGCACGCATTGACGTACACCACGCGCTTTCATATAAAAAGATATGTTCATTGCTTTAACTAGGAATTTCACGTCAATATTAGGAGCTGTGCTACCTTCAATGATCCCAAGGACACAGGTCAAATATTTTAAAAGGAGAAAGTCCAAATATTAAAAAATTCGTTAAACATTGTATTCGCTTAGTTATTCAGCAAACAGGGACGTCGCTATAGGGGGGTACGGGGGGTGTAACACACCCCAATAATTCAAACGTTGGTCAAAGTTGGTCAAAATGGAACAGGTATTTGCCCAAAGTTGGTCAAAATGAACTGATACTTGCTTAAAATTGAAAGTAAAACTCGCCAAAAACTGGTCAAAGTTTGGAATAAAAGATGGTCGAAGTTGCTAAAACTTATGAAATGGTTGGCAATTTTAACAATTTTAAAGCTTTTGTTATTTTTCCGTTAAAAAATTGGAAGCCTTGCTTATCTTGGTTGAAAAATTTTGAATATGCTTATGTTAGTCAGCCAGCCGTTCCCTCCGAGAGAGCCCTCAAGAAGGAACGGCTGGGACCGAGCCTAAGTTCCTTCGGTATCAATGTAATCTAGTAATCATGATTTTTTTCAGTACATAACACCAAAAAATCATGATTACTAGATTGCATTGATACCGAAGGAACTGGACTCAGCTCCAAAATATCACATACTCGAACCGACCTGACCGCGTAGCTCAGTTGGCAAAGCATTGGGCTAGTAATTCCAAAGGTCGTAGGATCGATCACAAACAACAATATAACTCATTATTTATGTCAGTCAACGTTTATTCATCAATCTGGTCCTTCACCGTCACGTGTGTATTGAATCTAATGCATGGTAATGAGTTATAATGATAGTGAGTTACATTGTTATTCTAATGAGTTTCACAGTCATCTTCCCTTCGATAGGCTAGCTATCTTCTGGCAGTGTGAGAAAGGAGAACCTTGGGCAGCTCAGGTATGCCTATCTATTTTGTATCAGTATACTGTAATACATATGATATTTGCTCAACTATAGTATAAGGCTTACAAAATGCTTTTGGCTAATACAGTTGTAGGACAGATCTACAGTATGCCTTATACATACGATACCAGACTGGCTTGTCACACCATCGAATTTAACTGTTTCAGAAACACTTAACACATGAGATTGCGATTATATGACAAAATAAGGGAGGAGGGAGAAGACATTATTCCGGAGGGGCATATGTTTATGTACTTCGTACCAAGTTAATCCGGTATATATCGTGTAACCAAGCATTCCAAACGCACCAAAACTACCTTTAATGAGATAAAAAAATTAATCCAAGATGGCGGTCATCTCATTACTTCAAGTGAAAATACAGTATTTCAAGAACTAAGCAAGATATATGAAAATCGGGTAAAGTTAATATACAGTATAGTTCCAAAAGTTCTTTCAAATGAGACAATAAAAATTTTTTACCGTAAAACTCGTTTGATTGTGAAATCATTAGAATAACAATATAACTCATTATCTATGTTGGTCAACGTTTACTCATAAATCTGGTCCTTCACCGTCACGTGCGTATTGTATTTTTGCCCAACTAACCAATAGCAATGTTTTAGGAAAGTTACCTTAAGGGACTGCCCCACTTACTGTCCTAGAACATTTGGAACACTGTTCTGAACGATATGAAATTTAGTGCACATGGGCATGTTCTTGAACAGTGTTTAATTTATTATTTTTGCTATATATGCATGCAACCATGCATTACCAAATTGATTAGTTATTAGTTATTCGCATAATAAATCGTATATAGCTAAGATTTATTCCTACTTGATAGTGATTATGAACTCTCTCCTCCGCAGAGGCATTATGAATATGTGCGTAGTATAATGAATTTGGAACACTGTTCTGAACGATATGAAATGGAGTGCACATGGTGTTTTTGTACAGAAACTCGACGTTTCAAGAGAAGGCCTTTCGTCAAGAGTTAGTGGCTACTAACTCTTGACAGAGGGCCTTCGCTCGAAACGTCGAGTTTCTGGTTATTTTTTAAGGTAGTAATCATAACCACCCAGCACAGCATTTTCACATTGGTACTACCAACACTGGTACAGACAGTTTTAGTACGGTTTTTGAACAGTGTTTAGTTTTATTATTATGCTATATATATATGCATGCAACCATGCATTACCCAATCTCGTACCCGGAGCAATGCCTGTGCGCGGGCTAGGAAGGCATTGGCTCTGGGGAAATTGACAACTGGAACCCCTAAATTTAGGGGTTCCGGTTCTTTGTCGGCATGCACGATTGACAAACGTTAAACCAATCACAGCACAGGAAAAATTCAATTTCCCCAGAGCCAATGCCATCCTAGCCCGCGCACAGGCATTGCTCTGGGTACGAGATTGTGCATTACCAAATTGATTAGTTATTCGCATAATAAATCGTATATAGCTAAGATTTATTCCTACTTGATAGTGATTATGAACTCTCTCCTCCGCAGAGGCTTCTGTTTATGAATATGTGCGTAGTTTATTGTAGTTAAATTCATCAACGTATGTCCCAAATTAAGACCGAACTCTCAACGGTGAAAATATACGATTCTGACTAAATTTTTTTATCAGATTCGTATTTTCATCTAATTTTGTATCCGTTTGGCATTAAGAATATATCATTCAACAGCTAAAAGCCTGATCTTTCCGAATATGAAAAATCTTGGTAATAGACTGAGTAATTCAGATACAATAACGCGCTGACGTTCGATTACCTTTTTATATACACTGTACAGGGTTTCCCAAAAAAAGTGACACTATAGAAATTATCCTATAATTTGAATGCCCTAGCACTAAGTTGATCCCACAGGTGCATAAACTTCTGCTTCTGGAATTTAAAATAAAAAAGCAAACCGTTTATTAGTGTAATCGTTTTGCTTGACTCAGGCGTTAAAATATTTGGACAAAGCGAAAACGTTTTAAAATGCTTAAATGTAAATACAAGTTCATTAAATTCCCAGGCGTGCAATTACACGCGTTTAAGAGCTGCTTAAGAACAATGAGATAATTTATATAGTGTCACTTTTTTGGGGGACACCCTGTACAGGGTGTCTCAAAAAAACCCAAAATCATTGAAATAACGTATTGTTCGAATTTCAATGCCGTAACACAAAGGATTTTGACAGGGTGATTAATTTGTTTTAAAAAATTAAAATATCTTTGTAAAGTGAACGTTTGTTTGCTCATGGGAATTTAAAAATGCTTCGTAAATTCGTGGGTTTCGTACTTTATGCCTGACATAACAAGTTTACGCTGAGTATTACCATTCATTATAGCAGTTATGTCAATCTTTTATGCACTCGTGGGATTAACGTAGTGCTAGGGCATTGAATATCGAACAATACGTCAATTTCAATGATTTTGGGTTTTTTTGAGGCACCCTGTATATCTAAGTATGCAGCACAACCTTGGCGTTCAAATAGCACAAAATAAGTATATATCGATATACTGCATAGCGGTTAACCCTTCAAAATAACACTCTTTGCAGTGTGCATTGGATATACAAAATCTATCGCCTCCATTTCCAATCACGTGAAAATGGGCAGTGTTATGTGCTCTGTCCTACACACGCAAAAATCTCGCATCTTGTAACAAGCCGTCAACAAGTTGTCTTCGCACTGCTTGTCACAAGTGGTCAACAAGTTTGGAACAAGCTGTTAACAATTTGTAACAACCTTGTTGATATTATCAGGCTTGTTACAAGGTTGTTCCAACAAGTCCGATACAGTCATGATACAGCAATATTGTCACACAACCTTGTGTCTGTAGTATTTTAACCTTAAAACCCAACTATGCTAAGTAAAACTCCCTTGTTAATACAGCTGTCTAGTTCTCCTCGAGGTGCCTGTTTCTTCCCCGCCGGAAGTGCTAACTCCCGGATGTTACACTCCTTTTTTCCTGGATTAAAACCAAAGTCCCTGCAACATAACATCTAAACTAATAATGTCAACACTATAACCTAACAGTTTGTAATCCCTTAGTGTTTTATACTCTAATATTAATGTAATTACTCACGACCAATAGTCCGGTGTCTGTCTATCTCTTTGCGGATATCGGGCTGCTGGAACTGCATTTTCTTCGCTAACCACTTGTTGGTCTGGGACGGGTTGCTGGTTGATATCTGGATTCATGACATCATTTTCGTTTTCTTCTGGTGTTTCTCTATTCTGTAAGTTGAAGCCCTGTAGCCAATGCACGAATCATTTGCAACTTTCGTCGTTTTCACTTTGCCTACAGCAGCGGTGATCTACGGCTAATGCAACACGTGAACTCACTGATTACGTATCATATTGTATCAATGATCAGAGCTTTGTACATGGAAAACAGGAAAAACCACTTGCGTTTTGGATAATTGTTGCGTAGTAACTTTCTAAACTATTAAACCAAACACTCTCTTAGATGAAAAATGTGAGCTGGTCATGTCAGCATCTCCCTAATTCTTGTCGGCTTTTCACTTGGGCCGCTGTGTCTTGAGAAGTTGAGAAGTTTGAGAAGTGTACTCTGAATGCAGGAAATGCTATTTCAGAGACCTAAATTTAAAAAATTTCCCGGGGGGGGCATGCACCCAGATCCCCCTAGCTAACTCGTGCTTGCGGTACTCGGCTCACACCTTCGGCGATCACATACTATCCTCGGGGGAGGGCAAGGAAAATGGGCCTTTTGGCAGTTTTTCCCCACCACTGAAAAATCCTTAAAAATGCACTGGTGGAGAGCTTAGCTTGCTTAATGTATCTCAACGAGAGAAGCCTCAGAAAAATACAGTATACCGAAAGTTAGAGAACCCACTAAGTCGAGAATATATTTGCTGAATAACTAAGCGAATACAATGTTTAACATTTTATTTGGACTTTTTCCTTTTAAACGGCTAAAATTTGAGCCTATATCCTTGGGATCATTGAAGGTAGCATAGCCCCTAATATTGACGCAAGATTCCTAGTTAAAAAAACAATGAATCTTATTATATGAAAGCGCGTGGTGTCAACGCGTGACACGTGCCATCGTGACATATTTAACAATTATTGAATTCGGTTTTCGCATAATTTGAAAAAGAAAAAATGATAATAATTTAATATTATTAATATTAACTATAATATTATTAGTATTAATATTATTATATTCATTTAGTTTTGAAACTATTTTCAATAATTTTAAAATATTTTTCCGCCAGTCCTCGTCTACCTGTCCGCATCCGACAGTCTGCATACGCCAGTCCGCGTTCGCGAGTCCGCGCCCGCCTTTTATCTATACCCGCAGCTAAAGGATATTCAGTCTTGCTCTGACCATATTCTATCGGAAGGGAAGATGGCTGTGACACTCATTTCTCATTAGAATAACAATATAACTCATTATCTATGTCAGTCAACGTTTAGTCATAAATCTGGCCCTTCCCCGTCACGTGTATATTGTATTTAATCGTAATGAGGAGCCGGTTACAGACGAACAAGTTTTCTATGACAAGTTTTTATGTGACAAGTTTTATTTGCCAAGGGCACGTGTGTATATGCAACACATTTTATATGACAAGTTTTCATATGACAAGTTTCATTTACTGGTGTGAACGTGTCAACAAGTTTACTTTGACAATTTATTAGTGGCCAGCAATGTAATAGTACAGCGGACAACGCGAGCGCTGGCCAATCACATCAAATGCTCAATCTCGTACCCAGAGCAATGCCTGTGCGCGGGCTAGGATGGCATTGGCTCTGGGGAAATTGAATTTTTCCTGTGCTGTGATTGGTTTAACGTTTATCGATCGTGCATGCCGACAAAGAACCGGAACCCCTAAATTTAGGGGTTCCGGTTGTCAAGTTCCCCAGAGCCAATGCCATCCTAGCCCGCGCACAGGCATTGCTCTGGGTACGAGATTGATCAAATGCTCAGATTACTTTGACAAGTCTTCTTTGTTGACCCATACAGACGAACAAAATTCAGTGTACTTTGACAATTTTTTTCTATGACAAGTGCATTTGTTCAAAAGCTAGCATGCTAGCTTTTCATATAGAAAAAATTGTCAAAGTTGCGCGTACATGCAGACGAGCAAATAAAACTTGTCACATAAAAACTTGTCATGGAAAACTTGCTCGTCTTTAACCGGCTTTATATTGATCACTATCAATTGTTATTCTAATGAGTTTAACAATTTCACAGCCATCTTCCCTTAGGTTATAGGCTATGTTCTGGCAGTGTGAGAAAGGAGAACTGAACTCGGGCAGCTTATAGGTATGCTTATCCATTTTGTATCAGTATACTGTTATACATATGATATTTGCTCAACTGTAGTATAAGGCTTACAAAATGTTTTTGGCTAGTACAGTAGTAGGACAGAATTATGAATATGATTTATGAATGAATAGCAGATCTACCGCCTGCATATGCCTTATACGATACCAGATTGGCTTGTCACGCCATCGAATTTAACAGTTTCAGAAACCACGTAACACTTGAGATTGCGATTATATGACAAAATAAGACGAAAAGGAGGAAGAGGACATTATTCCTGAGGGGCATATGTGTATGTACTTCATACCAAGTTAGTCCGGTATACATCGTGTAACCAAGCCATAGTCGTATTCCAAACGGCAGGATTTTGACAGCTAAAGCGAAATAGCAAGATGTTTTTTATTTTCTCATTTGACAGAACTTTTAAGACTATATAAATATAGATGGAATTGTAGATATGCATATGCCACGTCACTACAGGGGTCACGCAATATTTTTATGTGGACAACCACCAATCATTTTGCACTCAAAACTATACTCTGTCTGCCATTCGAAATATCAATATCACTGAAAACCTTTAAAACGTCTACCAATCAATATTTGGTCAGCTACGAATACTTTTATATGGTTAATCCCTGTTGTGAAAAATTTATCCAAAATGGCGGACATCTCATTACTTCCGAAGTGAAAATATTTCAAGAACTAAGCAAGATATGAAAATCGGCAAAAGAAGTTAATATATAGTTCCAAAAGTTCTTTCAAATGAGAAAATAAACGTTTTTACTGTGAAATTCTTTTGACTGTGAAACTCATTAGAATGACAATATAACTCATTATCTATATTAGCTAGTCAACGTTAATTCATAAATCTGGTCCTTCACCGTCACGTGCGTATTGTATTTTTGCCCAACCAACTAACCAATAGCAAAGTTTTAGGAAAGTTACCTTAAGAGGCTGCCCCATTTACTGTTTTAGGACATTTGGAATACTGTTCTGAACGATATGAAACACTCCGTTTCATATCGTTCATATCGCACATGGTGTACTGGAACAGTGTTTAGTTTATTATATATGGGTGCAACCATGCATTACTATATTCATTAGTTATTAGCATAATAAATCGTATATAGCTAAGATTTATTCATACTTAAAAACTCATTAATAATTCAGGAGGAAAACACAAGAAAAATCATAAGCGTGTCGTATCTTTATATGTGATAAAAAATCATGTTAATTTAAATAAACTTTAGCTTTGATTTTCTTAAAAATTACTTCGCCAATGAACTCATTTAAGATGAGTAGTTTTTTAAGCCATTTAAAGCACTTGTAGTCGTGTTTTATCAGATATAAAACGCTCGGCTGCGCCTCGCGTTTTATATCTGATAAAACACTCCTACGCATGCTTTAAATAGTACTTGATAGTGATTATGAACTCTCTCCTCCGCAGAGGCTTGTAATTATGAATATGTGCGTACTTTATTGAAGTGAAATTCATCAACTTAAGTCCCAAATTAAGACCCAACCCTCAACGGTGAAAATATGCGATTCTGGCTAACATTTTTTATCAGATTCGTATTTGCTCATTTTGTATCCGTTTGACATGAAGAATATTATCATTCAACAGCTAAAAGCCTGATCTTTCCAGTCTTTCCAAATATGAAAAAATCTCGGTAATAGACAGAGTAATTCAGATACAATAGCGCGCTGACGTTCGATTACCTTTTTTTTATATACAGCAGGGCCGTAGGAAGCTCTTTTCGATTGGGGGGGCTGAAAGCGAGGGCCGAAGGGCCGAGGAAATTTTTAAATTTAGAGTCTCTAAAATGCCATTTCCTGGACTTTGGGGGAAGATTTAACAGTCAGAATTCTGATAGTCAGAAAACAGCGTTTTAGTATGTCGAAATTTACAGGAAAGTATGGGCCAGACTGTAGTATTATAAATGCGCGGCGGGAATTTTCGTCGTAAATGGCAGTTGCGCGGAAATGAAGGCAGAACATTTGAGAAAATTTCGAAAATCTGGAGTCTCTAGATGGTCTGAAATGGCATTTTCAGAGTTTTCTTTCGCAAGACCCAACACGCAAAAGACAAAATAAATCATTAGTTCATCAAAAATGTGCAGATTTTGTGGGATTTTCTTGAAAATGCGTGACAGAAATTCAGCTAAAATTTCTACGCGAGGAACGATCTGGAGTATGAGTAATATCTTCATTCTTTGCAGTTTGTCACAGATTAAATGATAAAGTTTGCATGATTTTGAAAAAAGAATGATTATTAGCAAATTATTGGGGGGCTGCAGCCCCCCCAGCCCCCCCCGGTTGCTACGGCCCTGATTATACACTGTATATCTAACGGTATGCAGCCCAACCCTGGCGTCCAAATAGCACAAAGAAGTATATGTCGATATATAGCAGTTAACCCTTCAAAATAACACTCTTTGCAGTGTGCATTGGATACACAATTAAAATCTGTCGCCTCCATTTCCAATCACGTGAAAATGGGTAGTGTTATGTGCTCTGTTCTACACACGCAAAAACCTCACATCTTGTAACAAGTTTGTCAACAAGCCGAACAAGTTGTCTTGAAGTTCGCACTTCTTGTCACAAGTTGTCAACAAGTTTGGAGCAAGCCGCTGTTAACAATTTGTAACAACCTTGTCAGTGACATTGTCAGGCTTGTTACAAGGTTGTTCGAACAAGTCCGATTCAGTCATGATATAACAATATTGTCACAACCTTGTGTCATCAACCTTGTAACATTCTTGTTATATATCATGACTGTATCGCACTTGTTAGAACAACCTTGTAACAAGTCTGATAATGCCATCAAGCTTGTTACAAGTTGTTAACAGCTTGTTCCAAACTTGTTACAACAACTGGGAACAAGCAGTGCGAAGACAACTTGTTGACAGATTGTGAACAGATTTGTAACAACTTGTTTGCAGACTTGTAACAACTTGTGCGTTTTTTCGTGTGTAGCTGCCCCACACCGTCCATAGGGATCGAGATCTGTCCAGATATATTTGCTACATGTATCCACAACCATTAACCAGACAACAACAGGCTTTTTTATATGAGCCATATTGTAACGTCACCACTAATATTGCCGCAGCACTGACATAATCATATGGGGTCTAGGTTCTTTTAACACCTCCCATATTCTTGCAAATTAGGGAGCGGTCATTCAGTATGTGTAATGAGGCGTTGGAGGCTATTTTATCAAATTTGGAAAATGGTTCATGCCCCACCCATTCATTCAAGAAATTACTTGGCATCCCCTCAAAAAGTCGGATTCATACTCCTCCTTGAATTTTTAATATCAAGAGGGGTATGAAGTAAAAGATACGTAAGTCATCATGTTACTGGCGTCATCCATTCAAATAATTTATTTTTTGATACTGTTCCGTGTTGTCCAATTAAATTCTGATGCTGCGAACTTGAAACTAGTGATGAAAACGGCTGAATATAGAAGCAGCTTTGTGCTAGACATATTTACTTCTGTATTGGGAATCGAAGTTTTATAACTTTTTATTCTGGCCAATGCCAGATATTCTATTTTGGAGAATGGATTACGGTAGTAATACCCCCATCTGGAGTTCAAAGGGATGCCGCCAATGACGTCACTTTGTCCAGCTAGCACTTTGTTGTCGGAAGTAATTAGTATGCAAGTTTAATTTGGCGGAATATATAATGAGCTTGAAAAATCTATGACATCACTTTGCTGGGCAAGCCTGGGCCAAATGTAACAGGTAACGCGACCAATTAACGCGGGCAAGCCTGGGCCAAATATCACTTTGCTGGACTAGCCTGGGCCAAATGTGACAGGTAACGTGACCGAACACAATAAGGTAACGCGACCAATTTGCATCACAATAGACTAACGTCACTATAAATACTGCTATAGCGTTCTTTCACCTGCATAGTCTGCGTTCAACATTCACGATGGAATGTTTTCACGGTAAACCAGAAGCAAGTTCAACAACTGTTCGTGGTACGTTTTGGTTTTGTGGCGAAACACCAAGCTGCGAGTTCTTTTGCCATGACGAAGACGATGCGAGAGCGATGGAAGTCTGTCGAAATAGTGGTTCCAATCATCTCATTTACCCAACACATCAGAGATTGGCCAAATTACGCGTGGTAAAAGATAAAATGAAAGATAATTATGGAAGACCCTTCTTTGTGTGTGCAGATCGACATGATCCATGCAACTTTTGGCAATGGGGAGACATTTACGAAAACTCTCGACCACGCTGCAAGCACGGAATGGTATGCACCCTACGTAAAGTGAAGAAAGACGGACCCACCCAGAACCGATTGTTTTACTGTTGCTCTCAGATAGACAGCTGTGGATTTTTCGAATGGAAAGAGATCGAGTCTCGTGTAACCAAGACTGGCTTCGTCCTATTCAGTGATCCGCTACAATATCGATACAACAAATTTCGGTGATGACTTCCTTTCGGAAAAAAGATCAGCTATACGTTTGTCTTTACTAGATTGTGCCATAAGATCGTCTAATATGATCAAATTCCGTTGCGATAAGTCCAAGTAATCTCCGTTGTCGATATCGTCGGGAATGCCTTTATTGAACTCGATTCCAAGCATCGTCCTCAACATATCAAAATACGATGGTTGCCATTGACCATAACACCAGATGATACGTTGAGGAAGTGGATTTATAGTTTTCTGTGCATTCTCCAAGAGAGTTTTCACCCATACAGTCTTTCCGCCTTGGGTACATCCATTAGTCGCCATGCGAATGTTGTCGGTTGGTTTTTGCTCATGCACTTCTCATTTGTATCGATGCAAATTGAACGGTTTAGAGAAATATTTTCCACAGGTATGGCATGAATGAGACATGTTTACTCTATGACGAATTGTTAGATAATAAATCTTTCAAATAAAAACCGAGTTTATATTACACAGAGCCCAGCTAATACCTCGGAACCTTGCTCCTAATAACGAGCCAAGGCTCGGGGGCCTAGCTCTAAGTATCGAGCCTACCTCGGAGCTGAGCTCGACAGGCTCGGAGTCAGCTCCATAGACTTCAATCCGAGCTCCATAAATTCGTAGCAAGCTCTATCGGCTCCGAGTCGAGCTCCATAGGCTCGGAGCAAGCTCTATCGGCTCCGAGTCGAGCTCCATAGGCTCGGAGCCGAGCTCGATAGGCTCGAAGCCGAGCTCCATAGGTTCGGAGCCAGCTCCATCGGCTCCGAGCCGAACTCCATACTACCATAGGCTCGGAGCCAGCTCCATAAGCTTGGAGCAAGCTCCATAAGCTTGGAGCAAGCTCCATAGGTTCGGAGCCAGCTCCATCGGCTCGGAGCCGAGCTTGATAGGCTTGGAGCCGAGCTCGATAGGCTCAGAACCGGGCTCGATAGGCTCAGAACCTATGGAGCTCGGCTTCGAGCCTATCGAGCTCGGCTCCGAGCCTATCGAGCTCGGCTCCGAGCCTATGGAGCTGGTTCCGTGCCTATGGAGCTCGGCTTGGAGTCTATGGAGCTGACTCCGGGCCTGTCGAGCTCAGCTCCGAGCTATTTAGAAAAACTCCGAGCCTGTCGAGCTCGGCTCCGAGGTAGGCTCGATACTTAGAGCTAGGCCCCCGAGCCTTGGCTCGTTATTAGGAGCAAGGTTCCGAGGTACTAGCTGGGCTCTGTGTAATATAAACTCGGTTTTTATTTGAAAGATTTATTATCTAACAGTTCATCATAGAGTGAACATGTCTCATGCATGCCATATCTGCAGAAAATATTTCTTTAAACCGTTCAATTTACATCGACACAAACGAAAGGGCATGATCAAAAACCAACCGACAACATTCGCATGGCGACTAATGGATATGCAATTTTGCAATACCCATTTACATACATCGTTGCAGGATGTACCCAAAGCGGCAAGACTGTATGGGTGAAAACTCTCTTGGAGAATGCAACAGAAAACTCAACACTTCCTTAACGTATCATCTGGTGTTGTGGTCAATGGCAACCATCTTATTTTGACATATTGAGGACGATGCCTGGAATCGTGTTCAATAAAGGCATGCCCGACGATATCGATAACGGAGATTACTTGGACGTATCGCAACGGAATTTGATCATATTGGACGATCTCATGGAACAATCTAGTGAAGACAAACGTCTAGCTGATCTTTTTACGAAAGGAGGTCATCACCGAAATTTGTTGTATCGATAATGTAGCGGATCACTAAATAGGACGAAGCCAATCTTGGTTACACGAGACTCGATCTCTTTCCATTCGAAAAATCCACAGCTGTCTATCTGAGAGCAACAGTAAAACAATCGGTTCTGGGTGGGTCCGTCTTTCTTCACTTTACGTAGGGTGCATACCATTCCGTGCTTGCAGCGTGGTCGAGAGTTTCGTAAATGTCTCCCCATTGCCAAAAGTTGCATGGATCATGTCGATCTGCACACACAAAGAAGGGTCTTCCATAATTATCTTTCATTTTATCTTTTACCACGCGTAATTTGGCCAATCTCTGATGTGTTGGGCAAATGGGATGATTGGAACCACTATTTCGACAGACTTCCATCGCTGTCGTAAACAGATAACAGTCTTCGTCATGGCAATGGAATTCGCAGCTCGGTGTTTCGCCACAAAACCAAAACGTACCACGAACAGTTGTTGAACTTGCTGCTGGTTTACCGTGAAAACATTCCATCGTGAATGTTGAACGCAGACTATGCAGGCGAAAGAACGCTAGCAGTACTTATAGTGACGTTAGTCTATTGTGATGCTAATTGGTCGCGTTACCTTATTGTGTTTGGTCGCGTTACCTGTCACATTTGGCCCAGGCTTGCCCAGCAAAGTGACGTCATAGATTTTGTAAGCTCATTATAATTATAAATTCCGCCAAATTAAACTTGCATATTAATTACTTCCGACACCAAAGTGCTAGCTGGACAAAGTGACGTCATTGACGGCATCCCTTTGAACTCCGGATGTGGGGTATTACTACTGATTACTATTAAAGTCTCACCCTTGCCTCTTTATGGGTTAATAAACTCTCTATATATGTATTTTTGTTTCAAGCTCCTTTGCTTTTTATGAAATTAGTCTTAACCGCCATGCTTCGAACAATGATTTCGCTTCTTGACACTCCCCCCCCCCCACCCAAGAAGCCTCCGGTCCCCATGACACGTACTTAATGACGGCTTACTTACATTCTTGAAAGTTACACCACTTCTTCACAAATTAACCTTCCGTTCTTAGATTAATGATGATCGTTGAAGTCGCAGTGTCTCTATTCCTTATTTGGACTATTTGGTACATCAGTAAAACTTGCATAAAGAAGCAAGGAATGCCCCCGGGACCCTTTCCTTTCCCATGGATTGGCAATATACCTCATGTAATGTTCGACCAAGTATTTCCATTTAAGAAATTGTCTAAAGAATATGGAGAAATCTTCACTGTATTCCTGCCCAATGGAACGTTTGTTGTACTAAATACCGCATCACTCGCAAGAAATGCAAGACTTGGCACAAAAGACGACATTGCCGGCAGGTCATCCGAATCATCTTATCCGTTGGAACAAATATTAGGGAAGGACCTTGTCATATCAGATTACTCAGCCGGGTATTTATTTCGCAAGAGAGTGTTTAAATCATCAATTCATGTATTTGGATCCGGTCTTGGGCAAGCTGAAGGTCGTGCAAGACATGCCGTTCAACTTGCACTACAAGAAATTGAAAAATGTCAATCCTTCTCGCCAAACAAACTTATCCACTCAACAATATTTGCACAAGTTTGGGAGTGGTTAACATCTAAGAAGATTACTCTCGATGATCCGATTATAAGTCTATTTAACGAGATGCACGAGATAATAACGAATCTGCCTAGAGAAATATCCATCTATCTTTTGATACCATTCCTTAAATACATAACAAACAACTTCAACCGTAAGCTAGAGAGGGCAAAAGATATCAAGAAACAGTTATTTCCACAGGAATTCTCTGCCCACCGTGAGACCTACACTCCAGGTGTCATACGGGATTTGACAGACAGCTTCATCAGTGCTTACGAGAACGAGATTGCAAAAGGGACAAGCAAGGACATCGGGTCGATAGAAGATATACCGGACTTAATGTTAGATGTTGTTGTAGCAGGAGTAGATACAGCCTCGACTACAATTTGTTGGTTTATTCTTTATAATGCCTTACATCAAGATATTCAAGCAAAACTCCACAAGGAGCTTGATGACGTGGTAGAAAATGATCGCCTCCCATGCTGGCAAGATGTTCAGAACATGCCTTATTTACAGGCTACTTTATGCGAAGTACTACGGAGATCAGAACTTCTCCCAATCACAGGGACAACTGCTATTCGTGATACGACTATCGGTGGTTATCATATTCCAAAGAATACGAACGTCCTCATCAATGTTGACGAAATCCACCATGACCCAAAAGAATGGCCTGAACCTAATGAATTCAAGCCTGAACGATTTCTTGACAGTGATGGAAAGTTTGTGGGTTGGACAACAAAACATGCTTTCATGCCATTTGGACTTGGTCGCAGAGAATGTCTCGGTCAGGTTTTTGGAAAGATCATGTTGTTCACATTTGCATCAACGTTGCTACATCTCTACAAGATTGAGCTTCCTGAGGGAGCGGAGAAACCATGTACTTCACCCATTGGACTAAATTTTCATCACCCTAAAGATTTCAAGGTTGTCGCGAAAAAACGACATTAAAAAAGTGTTTACATCGGGAAAGATCTTCCCTTGAAGTTACTAAAATCACATTACGTTTTCATTTATAAGTCTTTAAATTTGTTCATAAAATGGAATAATCAATCAATAAATCAATCAGTTTTCAGTGTCGTAATTTTGCATACACTATACAATTGGGCTTGTCAGTTTTGTGGAAAGATTCAATGCGCAATTCCAGCTATAAACTAAATTTTGATCTAGAGAAGAAGAACAAAATCCATCACCACAGCTAGAAAGAGCATGTTATTAAAAATTAGTAAAATTGCAAATTAAGTTTGGTTACGGAATGTTGTAAAATGAGGAAAATATAGCCCTGTGAAGTTCGCAAGTTGTGTAGAGATTTGTATTACGCGCGTGAAAAATAACCATTTTTGAGACCCTCACTGGACCCCTAGGAAGCAGGTATGCTTAAAAAGTATCCTTAAAAATAAAGTAAAACTACTTAGCTATTTTCGTCTGTAGCGTGTAGGGGTGGGGGGAACTTTTCCAATGGATTGACATACAAAAGACACAAAACAGCACACGCATTATATGCATGCACCTAATATTCAATATTTCACGGCATGGTCTACTTTCCAGACCCCGTTGAAGATACAAGAAATCCATTAAATAAATAAATGCTTATAAGTAAGCCACGAACGAGAGGTCCCAGACGCATGTAGAGGCCCTATTACCTGTCCCAAAATTAAAATAATGGGGAATAAATCACGTAAAATTAAACAAAAATTATAAAGCAAAAATGAAAATAATGAAGTAAACATTACTTCTTAAAACGATTTCGTTCCAAGAAAAGTGCTCGAGAAAATGTTTACTTTACTTAGTTGTACATGCTGGGAAGTACATTTACTTCGTTACTTGAACCACTGGGGAGGATGCCCTTCACACGCCCCCGTAATCAAGGACACGCATTCGACGCATTAAAGAAAGTATATTATGCAATTATACAACCGCATTTCGACTATTGTTCATCGGTATGGGATAACTGCAATAAAGGTTTTAAAGAGATACTTCAGAAATTACAAAATCGTGCTAGGCGGGTTATCACACGTTCTGGTTATGATATTAGATCTGCGGAAATTTTAGAAAAATTAGGCTGGCTTACGTTGGAACATAGGTGGCACTTGAAAAAGGCATTATTAATGCATAAAATAGAAAATAATGATGCACCTATGTATCTAACATCACAATTTTTCAGAAGAAAACAAATGCATGACTACAATGTATGGGGTAGCCAGGTGAATTTTTCCCTTCCAAAACCTAGCACAAACTTTATGAAAAATAGTTTAGCATACAGTGGAGCGGTCACCTGGAATTCTCTAAGTGATGACATCAAATCAACCGAGGATGTCATTGCTTTCAAAACGAAGGTTTCTAATGATATACGAGATTCTCTTAGTCTCTAATGCTTTTATTGTATATATGTAATATAATCATTCAAGTTATCGTAAAATCTAGTTTCCCCTTTGTTTCCCTTTCTCTCCTTTCTTCCTATATTTATACGCAGATTTATAATTTTTATATAATTGTATATATGCACGGCTCTCAGGAAGAGCATTGTTTGTAATGATGAGATTTCCGTGTTGAAATAAAGTTTATACATACATACATACGCTACAATGAGTGAATATCGAACGATTTGTTCCAGTGTCAGTCAATGTAGTGGCTGAAAAATCTGAAACAGCATGCACTAGAGATCTTTATCCAAATGAGCATAAATTCAGTTTTGCAATGTTTAGGCTTGTTAGTTTGTTCGCTTTTAGACACATTCTGAGTTTTCCAAATCAGAGTTCATTGCATTTTCAACATCCTTAGTTGTTCCACCGGAAGCAGTTAGGTTTGTGTCATCTGTAAAAAGTTTTTGCTTTGTCCTATTTAGGCATTCAGATAAATCATTTATGTATATTAGGAAAAATAAAGGACCTAAAATGGAGCCAATCGCATCGAATCACGACGCATCTCATCGCACCACTTTACATGACATCAAATCAAATCAAATCAAATCACGACACATCACATTACATCACGTCGCATCAAATGACATCAGATTACACCACATCACATCACCTGACGTGACGTGACATGAGATCACATCAGATTACACCTCAGATCATCATATCACATCACATCAGAAGATTACATCACATCACCTGACACGACGTGCATGACGTCACAACATTACATATGACATGACGTCTCATCACATCAGATTACACCTCCTCACATCACATCACAACACATCACATCAGATTACATCACATCACCTGACATGACATGACGTGATATGACATATGACATGACCGACATTACAACACATCAGATTACACCTCACATCACATCACATCACATCACATCACCTGACATGACATGACGTGATATGACATATGACATGACCGACATCACATCACATCACATCAGATTACATCACCTGACATGACGTGACATGAGATCACATGAGATTACACCTCAGATCATCATATTACATCACATCAGAAGATTACATCACATCAGCTGGCATGACGTGCATGACGTTACAACATTACATATGACATCACATCACATCACATCACATCACCTAATATGACATGACGTAACATGACATAACATAACATAACATAACATAACATAACATAACATAACATAACATAACATAACATAACATAACATAACATAACATAACATAACATAACATAACATAACATAACATAACATAACATAACATAACATAACATAACATAACATCATACCATATCACAACACATCACATCGCATGGCATCGCATCGCATCACATCACATGACACCACATGACATCACATGATATCACATGATATCACATGACATCACATGATATGACATCAAAATGAAGCAACGAGCATTGTGATTTGTCCTAAAAATGACAAAATATAGAAACGTAACTGGTAACAAATTAAAAGGTAGCAGAAAACAGGAAGCACCATGCACCGTACGGTTGTCTGGAAAACGCGTGCACGTACACGCGTACACGTACACGCGTACATGGAAAACGCGTACATGGAAAACGCGTACATGGAAAACGCGTACATGGAAAACGACGTACAATGTTTATTTGTAACGTTAATTAATTAAAACTTGGCGATTTTATTGGAAGTTCTCTTGCAGACCTAGTGATTGTGTCAATGATGGTCAGATCATGGCCTCCGTGAAGGACAACTTCACAGTGGACTACGTAATGTTTAGTACTTTCATTGTGTTCCAACATGCGTCCAGAAAAAGCAGCCGTACGTATTTCCAACCACCTCACGCTATTATCCCATGCACGTAAGATAATGTCAATAATGTCAATTCTCCGCGATGAACATTGGAGATATATTAATCACCACATTCGGAAGCCTCGCAATCCAATAAAGAAACATTTAAAACTATGCACTGACGCTTACAGACTGATTATCTATTATTTTAAATTGTTAAGGTTTTCTTTAGCATATAGTTTATTTATCATTTATAGACCCGAAGCGAGAGGGATTCGGCGAAATATTACCCGAAGTGATGATATTTATTTAATATTTGAAATATCATCACTGAGGGTAATGTTTCGGCGAATCCCCCAAGGGTCTATAAATGATATATTATACCGAAGGTAAAAGACAGCACTATAATAAGTTCAGAATAAACTTTAAAACTTGCTGAATATTAACTATAAAGCGATAAAAAAATTTAATTTCTTATGTATACCTGTGTTTTGACGTTTTCTCTTTAAAATATTTGAGCATGTATTCTTTGGATTATTGAAGGTAACATACGTCTTAAAAATTTTTGGTTACAGTAAATCAATAAATCTGCATGTACGCGCCGGTACGAAATTACAAACAACAGCTCGCGAATGCCATGTTCTTCAAGAGCGTGCATGGTATCCTTTCGTCGTGTGTGAGCGTGAGATACTATAATATACCACAGTGGATCTCACGCTGCATTGTGAAATACCGTAAAAAATCACATTGTCACGTGTTACGAATGCTGTTCTTTTATAGGACAATTTGAATTTGAGGTATAATATATTTTATTGCTTTTAGTTTACAGTTAACTATGTAGTTTTTTGCTGAATCGTGCACCATAATTTATTTCAATACATCAAAAATAATCCTGCCTCACAACTTGTCCTGGCAAAGTAGGATCATATAAATGTGTTCAGCCCCTTATTCAGCGAATCCTGCATGCTGCCTGGCTTTGATCCCTTAGGGGCGAGGCAGCAATTTCTTTGCGATAGTAACTCCTAGTATATTTTATATATAGACAGTTAGGCTCTCTGGCTCTGTTGTGTTAGTTTGATCTCATCATGTAATGTCACCATGTCGTGCTACGGCATGTAAAGTTAGCCTAGTTTATACTTACGCCTAATTTAATAAGGGTTTGGGCCGGTCATGTCATGTCATCTCATGTCATGTTATGTTAATATGTTATGCTATATAAAATTACATTAGGTCGCCCTACATCGTCCATGCACAGTTATATAAACTGTCCACAGTTGCTTATGGTGAGCAGACACTGTAGATGCTATCTCTGATGCTATATGTACTTGTCGGGGCAATTTTTGAATTTTTTGCAAGTACACATGTAAATGGCGTTATGTTTTTCTGTTACATTTGTTTTGTCTTTATGATTAGTAATTAAACTTGGATCTAACCAACATGCAAACTGAGATCCAAGTTTACTATAATCATAAAGACAAAACAAATGTAACCGAAAAACATAAGACATCATTGACACAATCACTAGGTCTGCAAGAGAACTTTCAATAAAATCGCCAAGTTTTAATTAATTAACGTTACAAATGAACGTACATTGTACGCGTTTTCCATGTACGCGTTTTCCATGTACGCGTTTTCCATGTACGCGTTTTCCATGTACGCGTTTTCCATGTACGCGTTTTCCATGTACGCGTTTTCCATGTACGCGTTTTCCATGTACGCGTTTTCCATGTACGCGTTTTCCATGTACGCGTTTTCCA